ATTAGTATTAGTATTAGTATTAGTATTAGTATTACGTATTACGTATTACGTATTACGTATTACGTATTACGTATTACGTATTACGTATTACGTATTACGTATTACGTATTAGTATTAGTATTAAGTATTAGTATTAGTATTAGTATTAGTATTAGTATTAGTATTAGTATTAGTATTAGTATTAGTATTAGTATTAGTATTAGTATTAGTATTAGTATTAGTATTAGTATTAGTATTAGTATTAGTATTAGTATTAGTATTAGTATTAGTATTAGTATTAGTATTAGTATTAGTATTAGTATTAGTATTTTATTCTCTGTCATTTAAGAGTTAATAATATTATGTATTGAGATTTCTATTCCAAAGGTCATAAATGAAAGAATTGATTGGTCTTCTAAAATTTAAGTTTTGTTATTAATAAATTTAATTGTTTCTAAAAATATTATTTTGGCCAACAGCAGAAAGAATTCTAATAGGATTATGACTATTTATATTTTATGCTTCATTTAATGGAGCTCTGCTATTATATCTATTATTATCATTATTTCTAATAAGAATTTATTATTAAATTAACTCATTTAATTAGCTTCCTTAAATATCTCTTTCATTTAATTCTAGAGTATTATTTTGGTTAGTTGTTCTATTATTATTCCTTAATTAAATTTAATATAATTAATCTGGTCTTGCAAATCTATTTATTCTTGATAGATTTTCCATTTAATTATTATTAATTAAACTTCTATTTCCTAATTGTTAATTATTTTAATTATTACTTCTTCTTTCTGCCAGTATATACTACGAATAATTCAATTAATTGCATTATAATGAATTATTTTGAATATTTTATTAATTATTAGCTGATTTATTGTTAAAAAAATGTTAAAAAATACATCCTTTTTAATAAATTACAATCGATACTTATTATATTAGACTTATATTTGAATATAAAGGGCAGTTTTTCTATACAAAATAAATTTGTTAAACTAAAAACTTCAGCTTATTACAAATATCTTGTATGTAATTACAAAACTAAACACCATTAAAAACACTAATAGCTTTAACAGAATTATTTTTACAATCAGGATCTTCTATAAATTTAGAAATATCTTTTTTAGAATTGAAATATATATTTTTATTTGAATTACCTTAAGCCAAAACACTCATATTATCTTATTCTAAAATATCATTATTTAAAACTTATTAATATCCTTAATCATCTTCAGAAATATTTGTAATAAAAAAAGCATTTTCTAAATCTTCTTCTTCATTTTAAATATTAAACTAGAAGAAATTATTAACTACATTTTCATCTTGTTCTTATTTAATTAGATTTTCTTATTAAATATTTACTTCAGAATTTTCTTCCAAATCTTCGTTTAAAAATTATAGAGTTTGAAAAGGTGATATATCTCCTTCAGTTTAATTTTATTCATTATGAAAGCTTTCCTCCTATTCTTCATTATTATTAAAATCATCCAAGCAAATCAAATTATTATTTTTATTATTTCTATTAAATAAAAATCCATCATCGAATTCTTCATTATTATTATTAAAATCTTCATTTAAATTATTATCTTCTTCTTCAAATTGTATCTCGTCCAAATTTTCTTATTATTCAAATTGTATTTCTTCTTCGATTTCATCTTGATTTTCTTCTTCCTCTTCTTCATCTTCTTCCATTTCTTATTATAGTTCTTCTTCTTCATCTTCTTCTTCATCTTCATCTTCGTCTTCTTCGTCTTCATCTTCTTCATCTTCTTCATCTTCCTCATCCTCATCTTCCTCTTCTTCTTCTTCATTTTCTTCACTATTTTCTTCTAAACTTTCTTCTTATTCTTCTTCATTTTCTTCGCTGTTTTCTTCCTCTTCCTCTTCTTCTTCTTCTTCATTAATTTCCTCTTCTTCATCGTCGACTTCATCTTCATTATCTCGTTCATTTTATGTGAATCTTCTTAATATGTTAGAAAGTTAGTTTCCAATTCTTTAATGTCTTTCATGGATAAAGATATCATTATTAAATCCAAAAACATTTTAATTTTCAAAATTTCTTTCAAAAATTATTCCTTACCTTCTTTATTACTAAACATCACTAGAATGTTACTAATTTATTAAATTAATAATTCCCCTTTATTAATAATAATTATTTTGAAAATTCTCATTTAAAAAAGGCCTACTATATCTATTCAAAATTCTCTAAAAAGTATCGTTTCTTTCGAAATTTTAATTATTATTGATATTTTAATTCAATTAACATATTAATTATATACTATCTACAGTATTTTGTTCATTTCTATTATTGATTTCAGGGTTATTATTGCTATACTATTCTATTATTTGATTTATATTTGTATTTTAATATATATTTTGGCTAGGTTAGCTATATTATTTTATATATTTCGAAAATTTTCCGTTGATTATTTGCTCATTAATATTCTTTTACATAAAATTATTAAATTTACTGTTATTTACTGTATTATTATTATTATTTAGAATATTAGTTCCATGTTTCGATTCTTTCTTTTTCCCATTTTTCTTAATTCCAGGATTAATAATAAAATAATAATTATAAAGATATAATAGCCTTAAAGGCTAAATAATAAACTCTAAAACATTTTACAACTAATAAACTTTTGAAATATCAAAAAGTTAAAGAAACTGACTGTAAATATTAACAAAATCAAAATTTTTTTACAAAGAAAGTCTTCCAATTTCTTTTAAATTCAACAAATAAGTATACAAATATGAACACGAAATTAACAAATGTATGCCTTCCTCATTTAAAAAGATGCTTTTTTTTTATATTTCATTTTATAATGCTGATTATATTATTTATAAAACTTTTTTCCTAATTTCTTAAGCAAAAGGTTAGTTTCTAAAAAGAACAAATTTATTTAAACAAACTTCGAAAATTAAGCTTTGTCCATGACAAATCGAAAAATAATTGAAACAATCTACTAGAAATTTTAAAAAGAAACCTTAACATCTATTTTATAAAATTTTCTCAAGTGCATTTTTTTTAATCATTTATCTAATTTTTTTGCTTTCTAGTAATTAAAATCTACAAATATAAGGTACCAAAACAGGGAACTATCTGCAAATAGATTATATAATTTTTACTAAAAAGAAAGAATTAAACAAGTATTATTCATTTTTGTTTTTCTTTAATTAACTTTCTTTTATTTCTTGCAAAAACTACAACACTAAGCATTCAATTAGATTGTTTATTATTTGTAAAACAACGCCTTAAGGTTTAAAATCTATCATTTTTATACTTTAACTCTTCATCATTTTTTATCTATTGCTTATTTTTTTCAAACATTTTTTCACATTTAAAAATTAATATTAATCTAAAAATATATTTTCTCTTAAAAAATAAAAGCTTTATTTAGTTTATTTTTATTATTATTTTTTTGCTTAATCATCATCTAAAGAATCCTCTTTTTATCCATCATTTTTTTCAACAATTTTCTCTTCATTCATTGCATCATTTTTTCCATCATTTTAATTTAATAAATTATAAATTTATCCTATAGTTTACGATAATTCGCTTTATAGAGAATTGTTAACATTCTATAATTAATTTTATTTTTATTTCTTTATACAATCATTTATAAAAATGTTCTTTTTTACACAAATACTTTCTTTAATACTAGCAAAAAAGCATTTATTTTCAAATCCTTTAAATCTTTAATCGAAATCCGAAGATAAAATTTTCATTTTTTTACAAGAAACTCCTTCTTCAAAGAAAAAGCTTTTAATTTTGCATTCTATAATAGTTTTAATTATAGTTTAATTTCCAAATAAAATCAAATTAATAAAAGAGTTCAGCTTTTCAAAATCAAAAATAGTTCCGAATCCATCATTTTATTAAAATTCGTACAGTAAAATTTCCTAAAATCCCCCTTAAATTACAAAAAATTCAACCAGGTTTTTATTTTCTTCGTAAATTTCTTTCAAAAACTCCAAAATGAAATTTAAGACATTATATTATATGAAATTAGCTTTTTTTTTTTAGAAAATAATATTATTATTTTTCATCAATTCAACAAAAAAACTAACAATTTCTTTTTAAATATTAACTAAATCAGTATTTTTTTATTTTTTTTGTTTTCAATATTTACTTTTTATAATAAAAAACATACATTCTCTATTAAACTTTTTATGTTTTAGACTTCCAATTCTTCATTTTTTATACTCTCCTTTACAAATTTAATCAAATCCTTTATTAAAATACAACTTTCTTCAGTTCCTATCCATTAAGTTTCATATGAGTCGCTTTTTTTATATTAAAAAAGCCCGAATTTTTCCAAGAAGCCTATCAAAACACAAATATATTGCAAATAAGAATTCTAATTTTAATTTAAAGCAGGAACTTTTATAAAATTTTTCCCTTCTTAAAATTCTTTTTAGGTAAATCTAAATATTTTTTTGAAAGAAAAATCAAAATTCTAAATTATTTTTCTAGCAAAAACGTGCATTTTTACTAAAATCCCGCAACAGATTTTATTAAACTTTCCTTAAATATTTTCCAAAGCTTATTTTTTAAAAAAGAAATCATCGTTTTTCTTTAAAGCCTGTTAAATTTCATCTATATCAGAGTAAAAATCTCTTTAAACCAAAGCAAAAATTTACAGTGAATTATTCTTTAAAATAAGAACATTTTATAATAATATTTCTACCATATTTTTCGCATTTTCTTTTATTTTTTATAAAATGTTTCTTCTTTCATAAAGAAATCTTTTTTAAAATTTCCAATAATATTTGCATACATATTTTCTTATTAATAAATTTGATTTAAAATTTCTTAATTTTCATTTATATGCTACATTACCTTTTCTACATTTCTTAAATTTTTCTAATTAATTATTTCCTTTAATATCTATTCATCTAATTAAGGAAATTAATTTTTTATTTCTTCTAAACCTTTCAAATCATAATCTAAAAAACATCCGAAATTTCTACTTTTTTAAGGAATTTCATATTCAATAAACCTTTTATTGTTTTCTTTGTATCTTTATAATAATTAATACTCTATATAAGTAATTATGAATTCCACAAACTTATTGCAATATTTATTTTTTTGTTCTAAGACCTAATTTACTTCTTAAAGACCATTTTTTAATACTTATTATTATCCTTCTATTTAATTATAAAAATATCCATAAACTACTTTATCGTATTAATTCTTTTTCTTATTCTGTTTATTAAGGTTGAAAAAGGTAAATTTATTAATAAAGAGTGTGATGTTAGTTTAAAAAATAGTTCAAGCTTTGAATTAATTGTTTCTATGCTTTCTTCAATAAAATAAGTTATTAATTAATCATATTTATTTTAATTTTAATTTTAGATGCTTTTTTAAGATTCTAATTCTATATATTAAAAAATCTAAAATATTATTTTCGCTAAATCAAAAATTTTCTATAATTATCCATCTTTTTCTAATTAATCTAATACAATAAAATTTGAATACTACTATTTTTTTTAATCTTTTATGAATATTTGTAATATCTAAACTAACATATAAACAGAACTTGCTAATTTAGAAAAAACTTCAAGCTAATCAATTATAATATATAAATTAAATAATTAATAAATAAATATTAATATAAGTATATTTAAATATATATATATATATATAATATATATATATTATTTATTTATATATATTTAGATATATTTATATATATATATATTTTTTTTATAATAAAGTTACAGCAAAAATATCATATTTTTGAATAGTTTCCAAATTTATAAAAGATAAATCAATGTTAGATATAGTATAAGACATAAGTTTTTATAGATTAATGAAATTTTATAATTTAAATTCTTTCTATTCTCCATTAGAATTTGAAAAAGGTTAATATACCAATTTTAAGATAGTATAGAAAATAATATTATGATAAGAATAATGATTTACATGATTTTTGAACTACAATAAATTTAAGCTAAATTATTATTTGCATTCTTTAAAATAGCTTTCACAAAGATATTCTTCATTTTCATTTTTTTTTGTAATTTCAATAACTTTAATTAATTCTTTAACAACATTAAACTATTCTATAAATCTTTAATTAAATGTTAATGGAAACAAACTAAAAATTTTTCCTGTTAAATTTTCATAATTATCGATTTTTTCAGTTAGTTTAATAGACCTAAAAGTATTAATTACAATATCAAAGAATTATAATTATTAGTAAAGTTTGACTTAATTATAATATTTTATATCTTTCTTTTATAAAAAACTCTCAAAAGAAACAGCTGTTAATTCACTAATCAAGCTAAGTTTTAAATTTTTCACATTTTCAATTTTTTCACCCAAAAGATTTTCGATTTCCTATAATGTTCTCAAAAGTATTCCTTTAAATTATTAAATTTGAACAAAATCCTAGCTTTATTCCAATTTTGCAAATTGAAGTTTACAAACTACTTTCGCCTATGAAAATGGGGTTTTACTATTTTATTTTTATTACATTAAAAATAAAAATGGGTATTATAGTATCTCTAAATATTATAAAAGGCTATTTCCTATGTTTTTAAGTTTTTCATTCAGATAGCACCCATCTATTCCTTATATAAGCTTCTCATATAAACGACAAACATTGTATATTTAATAAGATAAATTGTTTTAATAACCTACTTTTATGTTAAACGAGTTTAAAAGTGGATTTTTAATATAAAATTCGATGTCTTATGTATATTACTTACATTTTTTATTCAACTAATTTAATAAAAAATTTACTTTTTTATACATTATCTACGATATTTCTTTTATATTTGTATAGAAATTTTATAAGCTTTCTATTATTTAATTAAAATTATGAATATATAAAAACTCTGAATATTCTTCATTAATAAAAATTTCAAATATTTTTTCTAAAATCTCGCATTTTAATATTAACTTTCTTCCTATATCCTTAAAAATATACATATATATATAAACAAAAAAAATTAGTTTAATAATTTTTAAAATTACTTTTAAAGAAATATGATACAAGAAATTAGTTATGTAGGAAATATATTTTATATTAATAGGTATAGGTTTATTTTTTAAAGCGAAAATGCATTTTTGGATAATCTACTCTTCTAGCAATTTATCAACAAAATTTGGATTTTCTTTATTTATATTACTTAGCATATTAACACTTTAGATCAATAAAAACTATTTTCCGTCCCCAAATTCATTAACTGATTCCTCTTATATATTAAATTCATCAATTTATTTTCCTAAAAGGAAAAAAAATCTGCTTGAATCGCTTAAACTTTTGGCAATTTAAGGAGCGATTCTTCTAATTTTTCTTTAATTATTTTCAAAAAAAGAATTTAAAGTTAAAATAAGCCATCCTAAAAATTCATAATATTCGTTTGATGAAATTTCCTTCCAATTTCCTTCAAAATACTAAAATCTCCATTTATTTCCTTCTAAAAATCCTTCCAATTTCTCAATAATTTTCTAAACGATTTTTTAATCTTTCAAAACGATTTCTTACTAAATTAAAAGAGCTAAAGTAAGAAAGCATCTTCTTATTTACCCTAAATTATAAATAAGATATTTTTCTTAAGAAAGTGAAACATCTATAAAGTTCATAGCAAATCCTCCTGCGATTTCCTAAATTCCTTAACAATCATGAAAGCATAAAACGCAATTAATAAAATCAATACAAGTATCAATAAATTGACTTTAAATTAGAGATTACAAAGAAATTAGATATTCTTTCTTTTTTAAAAAAAGAGTTTTTTCTTACTCATTTAAACTTAAATTGGTACAATCTGCATATATTTTATATATTAAATTTTTAGCCTCCTTATTTAAAAATCCTTCCATTTATTATTTAAACATACTCATGTTTAAATCTAAAAAAAACTAAAGAAATTTTAAAATATTGCAATTTAATTCTCCGCTTATGTCTAAATATAATAAATCGCTCGTTTACTTTATTAGATTCTGAAATATTTTGTCTATGTTTAATTATTAATCTTATATTATAAAATTTACATTCTTCTTCAGTATTTTAATTAAAAAAACTATTAATTATAAAAAATAATTTAAATTATTATTATATAATTTAATATTTTTTTACTATAATTTTATATTCCTAATATAAATAATAAGCAGATATTTATTTTCCCTTATTTGTTTTTTATTTCTTTGTTAATTAATATTCTTTCTTTTAATCCATTATAAACCGGAAACTCTTCGTTTATTTAATTTATTTTTTCATTTATTTAATTATTATCATTTTATTTATAATTATCTTCTTAATTTCTTAGATTATCTTTCTATATAATTTATTAATTTTCTTCATTATTTAATATAGAAATACTATTTTAATGCAAAGATTTATCTTAATTTTTCCAAAAAGCTTTAACTTATATTAATTAGTTTCTTTCTAAATTAATTAAACATCCGAATTGTTACATTTAGCTTATATTTTTATAATTCGTTGTATTAATAGTATTTTCATAAAATCCAAAAAATTGTAAGAAGTCTTCTTTTTCCTCAATATTATTAAAAATGTCTTTTAATTCTACATAATCATTATTGAATGAATTTACATTAAGTATATAAAAACGTATCTAAAAAATTAATTAGTCGATTTGATTTTATTTTAAGTACGAAAAGTATTCTTTATTGATATTATCATCAGAAAAAATACATAAAATAACCGTCAAAGCCTTAATTTTAATTTATAAATTATCACTCCAGTTTAATAAATCAATCATTCTATCTAATTGCCTAAAAAGAGATCTGTAATTACATTCATTTAATAGTTTTTATTCGAATTCTAGCACTTTTTATATTATTTTTTCTTGTTCTTCCTTTTCTTTTTTCAATATTTTTTAATCGATTTCATAACATTTTAATATTAAAATGCTATTTTCTAATATATCATCTAATTTGTCTAATATTATCTATAAATTATTATAGTCAATTTATTTATAAATTTTTTTTTCCTTTATATAAGTGTCTATTTCTGATATAAATTCAAGTGTGTTTTTGTTTTTGATTTCTTCAAAAAACTATATGTCATTTTGCTTTTTATATAAAAAATAAATAAATATTTCTAAAATAAATGCTTATTTTTTTTTAAGTAAAAATAAAATAAAAAATTTTGATAATTATAGTTTTAGTTTAATGCTAATTAAAATTATTCTTATTCTTATTATTATTTTTATCTTTTTTTTTTACATAAGTAAATGAGAATTTCTTAAATTCTTTTAAAACATAATAAGGAATCTTCATTTTTTTTTTTTTATTAATATTTTTTTTTTTTTTATATTTTTTGTTTTGTTTTGTTTTGTTTTTTTCTTAAAAATAAAATATTATATTAAAAATTATAATAATATATTCCAATAAATATAAAAAAATTAAGCATATTATTATATAAATATATATTTTTTTATTATTCATTAAATTATTAATTTATTTTAATACTTTCTTTTATCAATTAAAAAAGTAAAATTATTTATTCTATAATTTAATAAATAATGTTTATTTCATTTTCATTCTAAAAAAAATAAAATAATAGAAAATATTTTTATATTATTTATTGGGAAATAATGAAAAAATACATATTAATAATAGACAATAATAATATATAATTTTTAATTATAAATTTAAATACATAATATTTTTATAAATTAAATTTAATTATATTATAAAAATTTATACAATTATTTCAATTTAATTTTTTTTTTTATAAAATTATGTATCTATCTTATAAGTTATTATTTAAATTTTTTATTTTCTTTTTTATCCAAAAATTTAATTACCATAAATTGAATCTTAAAAAATTTTTTTAGATTAATTTTTATAAAAAAATATATTAAAATTTAATTTTTTTTATACCAAAATTAAATATTGTTTTTTATTATAAAATGAAAAATCTTGTTATTTTTTATATCAAGCATAAAAAAAAAATACAGTTTATTTAAATTCAAAATAATTTATAACAAAAAACAAATAACAATTAAATAAAAAGTGAAAAATAAAATAAATAATAATTTTTGTTAAAAGCATACACAAAAATAAAAAAAAGATTATAAAAAAAGAAAAAATATATATAAATATATATTAAATAAATACTTAAAAGTAAAAAATATAAAAAAATAATATATAATATAAATATAAATTAAAATATAAATAAAAAATAAAGAAATATGTCTTAAGTTACATAAGGTTGGTTAGATTTGTTTTCCTCTATTCCAGGTTAATCTTGGGCCTATACAGGAATAGCATTAGCTTTAGGCACATCTATCATTGGAGCAGCATGGTATAACTTACAAAAACATCGATTTTAAATTTAAAATATATATATATATACATATATGTTTAAATAGGGGTATTTTTATTACAGGAGCTTCATTATTAGGTGCTTCTGTAAAAGCTCCTAGTATTAGATCTAAAAATCTAATTAGGTAAAAAAATGCTAATAAAATTAATAAATTTTATTCAAATATAAAATCATAAATTAATATTATTTTTTAAAAGTATTATTTTTTGTGAAGCAGTAGCTATTTATGGCGTTATTATGGCAATTATAATGTAGGGTAAAATGAACAAACCTAAATAATAGTTAAGCCCAACTGATTTACATAATGCATTTTATGCTGGATATGCTCTTTTCTGGACTGGAATATCTGTTGGAATTTCTAATTTAGTTTGTGGGTAAAATCAAATAAAAATAAAAAATTAAATAAAACTTTATTTATTTTTTTAAATATGATTTGTTTTAAAAAAAATTATTATTTTTTGTTAAAAAAAAAAAAGTATATGTGTTGGTATTACTGGTAGTGGTTGTGCTATTTCTCATGCTTAATAACCTGAAACTTTTGTAAAAATTTTAGTTATTGAAATTTTTGGAAGTGCTTTAGGACTTTTTGGAGTTATTGTAGGAATTATTTAATGCGGAGATGCTACATTCCCATCAGGAAAATGAAAAACAAAATAAATATTCTTAACATAAGAAATTATAAATAATAGAGAGATTTTTTTTAACAAAAAGAGAAAGCTTTTTTATTATTTATTTATATTAAAAGATAAGATTATTATTTTTTTAAAAAATATTCTTTTTATATAAAATTAAATAATAAAATAAAATACATAATTTATAAAAAAATAATTACAAAATTTTTTAAATAAAAACACTTAATATTTTGTATTTTTTTTATAAATTCTTTATTTTAATAAAAGAATAATTAAATTTCTTCCGAACCTCTATATTTTATGTTACTAAAAAAAATAAAAATATTTAAAATAATCATTATGTACTTTAATAGTTATTTATTGAGAGCTTTTTTAGTTTTTAAAAAATATTAAACTATGAATTTTGGACAAAAAAAATATATATTTATATAAATATTTTTTAATGAAAAATATAATTAACTTTATTTAGTATCAATTTAAATATGAAAATGCATGAAAAGCGATTTATAATATTAAAGCTTAATAATTTATAATATAAATATTAGAAAAAACTAAAAAAAAATAATACTAAAATTTTACAACCAATTAAAATATATATATATATATATATTTATTAATAATGTAAAACACTTATAATTTAGTATTTAATTTTGTATTAATTAAATAATTATATTAAATTAAAAAAATACAAATTGAAAACTAAAAAGCTTTTCAAGTATTATTTATTATTAGTTTATACTTATCTAAAATAAATTTTCTAAAAATTAATATTTTAAAAAGTAAAATAAATTATTTGAGATTAATTTTATTTTTAAATTAGATAAATATTTTTATAATTAATTTAATTAAGTTTTTTTATACTACTTTTATATTTAAAAGAATTAATTTAATAATATAAAATTAACAATAAAAAAATAAAAATATATAAAACTAATTAAATTAAAAATAAAAACATATTATTTACAAAAATTAAGAATTATATACTTTTTATTTCAAAAACATACATAATTTAATAAAATAGTTCTTGTATTTAAAAATAAAATAAATACTTATAGGGAAGAAAATTATAAATAAAATTTTATTACCATATTCTCTCTTAATAAATAATGCTATTTTGTTTTTTAAAAATTTATATGATATAATTTTCATTATTAAAAAATTCACTCGAGGTCTATTATTGTAAAAAAATGCACCAACGCCTGTCTCAACTTTATTTAAGACAAAATATATACCAAATATATTATTTTTAAAGATTAAATTGCCTTTAATTTCATTAGAAATTACATAATTAAATGATTAAAATTATTTAAAGATATTTCTTTACTTAAAATAAAAGTTATACAATATATAATTCATATATATATTTTTTTTATTCTTAATTAAAAACTCAATCAACAAAAATAAATAAAAAAAATCGGCAATGGTCTTTTGTTTTATAGAGTTTTTTTAAAAAAATAAAAATGAAAGAAAAAATAAATAACAAACATAATTTAATTTTGAATAAATTCCTTATATTTTAAAATTTGCTTAAAATATAATCCAAAAAAAGTGCTAGGATTATTAAAATAGCTTATAATTATTGAATTTAATTGATATTCAACCTACTAAATAGAAATAAAAAAGCAATTCAGTCATTATATCAGAAAACTATAGCAAATATAGAAAACTATCAAAAAAAAAGTAAAATAATATTTTATAAACATTTAAAAGTAGTCAAATATACTTTGTTAGATAAATAAATGTTTTATTAAACTAATTAAGTTTTTTAAAAAATGATTTAAATGCTTCTCTTTTATTCACAAGATTATTAAAAAATTAAAAAAAGCAATTAAATATTCTAATTAATACTTTCTAAAATAATAAATATAATAGTTAGAGCGATTTCAATTGTTATTAGTTTAAATGAATACGTTTATAAATCCAAATATTATCAATATTTATTATTATTATAGTAACTAAAACGTAATGTAAATAATTTATTTTATAAATATATAAATGTTAATAATAACATAAAACAACAACATAAATATATAATATTATTAAATAAATTTAAAATCTTTATTATTTTTTAAAAAGACTACATTAAAGGAAACATCATTTTATTAAAAATTGTATATTTTATAAAAGTACATGTTATATGGTTATATAGATTAATTGAATATATTTTAGTATAATTTTTAAGCATTAAAATATAAAAAAGCAAAAAAAATAAAAAGTAAACAAATATAATACAATTAGTCAAAATAAAATCTTTATTCAAAATTAAAATATAAAAATATAATAAAAAATATATAAAAAAATATGTCCAAACAAGATCTTGAAGATTTTGAAAAGGAATCAACTTAAAATAAAAAGTAAAGACTTATGCCAAAAAAAGCAGAATATAGAATGCGAGCTCATATTAATCCATTTAATGATACACCTTTTCCTTATCCATTAAATCCAAATTATGTTGATTGGGCACTTCATTATCCGAAATTCTTTGGTTTAAGTTAAGAAGAAAATGAAAAAATATATTGTAATACGCAAGAACATCCATTAAACTATGATAAATTGATTTCTGATGATAGGAATGGTTTAAATGGTCCTCATCCTGAATTTTTAGATATTGGGTGTGGATTCGGAGGCTTAGTTTTTGAATTAGCGAAAAACTTCCCCTAAAACTTAATTCTTGGAATGGAAATTAGAGATAAATTAGTTAATTTTGGCTCTGAAAAAATAAGGGGCCTAAGAATCGAAAGCCAAGGAACTTAATATAATAACGCGGCTGTTATTCGAACAAATACAATGAGGTTTTTTGTTTTGTTTTGAATTTTAAAATATAAATATATAAAGGCATCTAATTTAGTACTTTAGAAAAGAAAGTATTTAAAAAATGTTCTTTTGCTTTGCTGATCCACATTTTAAAAAAGCTAATCATAGAAGAAGAATTATAAATACTGGATATTTATCTGAATATGCCTTCTTACTTTAACCTAAAGGCAAGATTTATTGTATCACAGATGTTTCAGATCTACATAATTGGTAAGAAGAGCATTTAAGTAAACATAATTAATTTAGAAAATTAAGCGAAAAAGAATTAGAGGGTGATATTTGTGTTGATTTAATATAAAATTCTACAGAAGAAGGATAAAAAGTAACTAGAAATAAGGGGAATAAATGGTGCTGTGTATTTGAAAAAATATGAAAAAAAAAATATTATCTTTTTTTTTTTTTATTTTATTTATATAGTTAATAATATATATTAATTACTGCATAAATAGTTGAAAAAATATTATTTTTTATTTTTTTTTTAAAAAAAAGAAAATGAAATACTTTAATATAACATCAACACAATTTTTTACTTTAATATTACAAAAATAAAAAAATATGTAATATGGGGTTTGCACTCACAATTACTTAATATAAAATATAAAAATTTAAAAAAAATCAATACATATATTTATATTAAATATTTATTATATTCATATTTTTTCAAACTGTTTCACCCTTAAGTCCATCGATAAAATAAACAAAAGTAGGGGTTGCATCTTCTCCTTTATAATATGAAAGAATGATAGTATTTTCAGTATCATAAGATTCAGGAGTATAAAAACTGAATTCATCGAAGTTACCAAGGATCCATTTAACCATTTCACCTGCACCTTTAACAAAGTCAGCAACTCTTTCAGGTTTTGTTTATTCAAGGTGTGTTTTGACTTTTTTCATGAAGTTTTTGATATAAGTAGTGTATCCTTTTTTATCAAAAGCAGTTTCATTGTATTTGAAAGCATCAATAATATCTAAAATTTTTTCGCCACCGTCTCCTTTTGCTTCTTCATCGTTTTAACCGAAAGCATTTCCACAACCAATATCAATGTCTCCTTCATTTTTTTAAATAAAACTTGATTTTATTTCTACTCCAACATTTTCAAATATGTAATTAAATTTAAAAGAATCTGATACTATTTCTTCTGAGGATGTTATATCGGTATATACTTTCATTTAATTTTTGTTAGTTTTTTTTTTATTTTATTTTATTTTTTATTTTTTATATTTTTTTTTTTATTTTATTTTTTAATTTATTAGATATAAAGATTCATATAATAATAATAATTTTTACCTTTAGCATTTTAAAATTATTAAAAGTTAAATTGATAAAAAATTATAAATTATATAGTTAATTTTGTCTTTTTTAACTTTTAATTAATTTTATATTTTTAATATAATAAGAGCGAAATTATTTTTTAAATTTAAAATTGCCCCTTTTTCTAAAAATTAGATTAAATTAACTAATTTTTTTAAATTTGCTTAACATATATTTTGACACAATATTTTTTTTTTTTTAAATTATTATATATATTAATATATAATTATTTTAATTTATTATTTTTAATATGAAATGTAAAATATTTAAATAAAATAAATATATGTTAAAAAAATATTTAAACATTTCAAAACATAAATTGTAATCGTAAAAAATAAATAAAATTAGATTAAATAAAATTTATATAAATATTAAAAAAAAATATTTATTATACTATAATATACTAATATAAATGTAAAAATTTTCATATATTATATATAATTAATATTAGATAATAAAAAATGAATATATTATTATTTAAAATATATATTTAATTATATAATATTAATATTAATTATATATTTAATATTAATACTTTTTATACATAAAATAAATTTTATTAATTATTATTTCATATAATATATTATAATTTTAAAAATTCGTTTTTTTTTCATATATATTTAATATTATTAAAAATGGAAAATAAAAATTTATAAAAAATTAACAGTTGTGATTCATAATCTTAATATCTAGATTTTTCCTAATAAAATTTTATAAATTCAAAACAAATTTAATAAGCTATCTTAAAATTAGAAAAAGAGCATAATTATTGTAAAGAATCACCTGAAGTGTTAATGGTAAAAAATTAAGTAGAAAAATTATTTAAATAATATTTTTTTGTTTAAAGGTTTTGTAAAGTATTATGAGAAAATAGAATTTCAAAAGGACATATACAGAAGCTTCTTTTATATGGAAAATAATGTAATAAAATGATTATTTTGAAAAGCTTAGTAGACATTATGACTTAGATACAATGATAAATTTATGTAAAAACATATAAATAGAAGAATTCAATCAACTCGAAAAAGTTATTGTAGAAGGTAAAATATTAAAATAAAAATAATTAAATAATAAACAAGGTGAAATCGGTTAAAAATTTTATGTTGTACTATAAGGCGGGTATGTAGTTTTACAAAAAATTAAAAGAATAAAAAAATAAAATTTATTAGAAACTACTTTAATAAGAATAATAGTTAATTTATTAAAAAAGCTATTTAATATTAATATTTAAGATTTAGATGATGTAGACATAATTAGAAAAATATAGTGTATATATCCTAGTTAAGCAATAGTAGGTGAGAATAGTGAAAATACAGGTTCTTTTGGAGAGATAGCTTTAAAGATAAATTGTCCAAGGACAGCAACAATTATAGCTAAAAACAGATTATTATTAGCAGTTATACATGCTGATGATTATAATGTAAATATAAGATAAAATATTATAATAAAAATTAAAAAAAAAAAAGAAAATTATTGCTGGTTTTGAAGAAAAATAACAACAAGAAAAAATTAGATTTTTAAAATAAGTAAGTCTATTTTCTAAATTTGAGGAGAGTTTATTGTAGGAGGTTTTATATTTGTGCGAGGATAAATAATTCTAGAGAAATAATATAATTGTAAAATAAGGAGACTATTCTAAATATTTTTATATTATACAGTAAGGAACTGTTTAAGTAAATAATTTTTTATTAAAAAAAATAAAAGAAAAAAAACTTAAAAAAGATAACAAAAAAAATTTAAAATTATGGATTATAAAAAAAGTTTAGTAAAAATGAAAAAATATTAGAAAATAATAAAGTTATGTAAGATAAATAATTATAATAATAAATAGATTATGTTGAGATTGTAACATTAGGAAATTATTAGTTTTTTGGTGATTTAGATTTGATAATTTTTAATAAATCGAAATTCAATTTTATTGCTTTAGAATAAACTATTGTCTATTAGATTTAGAAAAAACTAATTTATTAATTATTATCATTTAATAATTATTAATCAATATTTTTTTAATTTAATGAAAAAAATAAAAAATATAACGAAATGTGTCTATAAGTTAGTAAAAAAAAATAGTAATTTAAAAATACTTCCAATTTAGATTTTAAAATATTAGTAATTTATAATAAACTAATAAAATTAAAAATAAATAATATAAATTAAAGATTGAAACTGATGACGAAGAAATTAATAAAGATAATTTTTTTAAAATGCAATAATTCGCAAATAAAACAGTAAATTTAATTAATTTAATACAAGAAAATAAAAATAAAAATAAAAACTAAGACTATGACTAAGATTAAAACTAAGTATATAAAGATTATACTAAATTAGAAGTGATAGATTAAATAGTTTAACATTTTAACCATTATGTTTAAAAAAATAAAAGCTTATTTTTTTTTTTAAAAAAAAAATATTATTTAAAACAAAAAAAATACAGGAATTTCCAGATCATATAAATCAAACAGAATACATAGAAAAGTTGATAAAAAAATAAAAAAGCCCTCATATGATAAAATTTCAATAATAAACACTATTATTGCAAAACAGAAAATAATCTTTTAAAAAAAGTATAAGTTTTAATAGTCAAAAATATTCTTCTTAATTATAGAATAAAATATATAATAGTATATAAAGAAATAAATATTAATTATTAACATAAAGATATAATTAGAATTTCTTAAAAACTAAAAACGAGAGCTATATTTTGAAAGCTGCGTAAAATGAAGGAGATAATTAATAGATTTAACTTTAATAAAATTCATGTATAAGTAATAATATCAAATAATAAATTATTTAAAATAAATAATCTTTTTTGAATCATAAATCAAATAAATTTTTGACTTTGAGTCCATGTATATATATTTCTGATTTATAAAATGAATTTTTACAAAGTAGCAAAAATGATTAAAGAAAAATATATGAAGAAAATAATAGTATCTTTTAAAAATAGAAATTAAAAAAAATAATAGTTTTGTAAATATTCAAAAAAAAGCTTTTTAATTAAAAAAATTAAAAATGAAAGCTAATATAAAAATATTTTAACTATAAAATGATTTTAGAATTTTTAAATATATATTTTGTCAATATATTATTACAATCATTATATTCTATTTTTTATATAGTATTAATTTATATTTGTTTTTGTTTAAGTTTTTACTAATTTTTTATATTTTATATGTAATTCTTATATTTATATAATAATTTTATTATATATATATCGGTAAATTATGAGATTTTCTATTAAATAAATTATTTTATTAATTGCGTTTTATTTTTTATTATTTATATATTTATGTATTTTAATTAATTTTATTTTAAAAAAAAAATTAAATATAAAAAATATATAAGTAATTTGCGAAATGCAAATACTATCTAATTTTATTACTTATATAATATAAAAATCAAATTTATCATTAATAGATTTATTAATAAATAAATTAAATAATAAAAATAGGAAGATAAAAGACTTTCTAATATGAATTAAAAATAATATACAGTGGTATTATTTAGATCAAACATAAAAGAAAAAAAATCTAAAAGCTTTATTAGTATTACTTATAACATATATTTTAAAATATTAAAAATATTTATATACAAGACACTTAAATAAAGATCCATAAACAAACGTATTTTTGCGAATTATTGCGAAAATGAATTATTAATTCAATATTAAAACTAAATAATAATTTACTTATCCTTAAGGCAACTTAGAATAATTCGAGGTGAAGAATTAAACACCAAATTATGCAAAAAAAGACTTCAATTATATAAAAAAAAAAAATTACCAGAATTGGAAATGAGGTTGAAGTAGTAAATTTGATGCTTTTAGTCAATAAAAAAAAATAACTGTTATCTGAAAAATTCGAGAATAATTAAATAGTATTGAAGATATAAAATATGTGTATTTTAATTATCATAAACAGGTTTATATGAATATGTATTTTATTTTTATAAAAAAAAAAGAATTCAGATTTTTAGTTGAAAATAATTATAAAGAAGAAATTATTGAAGAATAAAAAGGGATATATAAAATTAATTAAAAAAATTGTTTTATATAGAAATAATTCGTTTGTGATGAGAATTTTTGTTTTTTGTATTAATCGATATTATTATAAAATGAAATGAATGCTTGCAGTGAAAAGGATATAAAACTCCAATTTTATAAAATAATTTGAAGTATTTATGGATTGAAAACGGAAATAATATTTCGAAATTATATTCAGAGACATATTCTAAAACTAAAAATACATCTATAGAACTTACATTTTAAATCAGTTTAAGTAATTAGATATCATATAACCTTCAATGGAATATTTCTAAAAAAAATAAAATATGTTTTTATTTTTATTTTTATTGGAATATTATTTAGCTATATTGATTGATTAATTTTAAAATAAAAATAATAATAATGATGAATTTAACTAACAAAGAAAATTTAAAAATAAATAAAGAGAAAGAATTTTTTTTAAAAAAATAATACTAGAATTATCTTGTAAATTAAAAAAATATATACTTTTTATACTAATTTATATATATTATTGGAAATAGGTGAATACAAAAAAATGTATTATATTATATTTTTATAAGTATATAGAAATTAAAGATACTTACTATTTTATGATAAAAATTTAATTTAAATAATAATATTGTCAATAATATTAAAGTTTATTCAATAAAGTTAAATTTATCTATTTTGATAAAGTAATTATATAATAAAATTAATTAAATATTAAATTAGAAAAATTATAATAACAATATTAAACAAGAAACATTGAATTACATAAATAATTATTTAAGATTTTATAAAATATATAGGAAACAGTATATAAAAGTGAAATAAAAAAGAATTATTTCAAAAAATTAAAATCCTGAATTAAAAAACTTAAATAAAAAATATTTAATAATTCTTAAATTTAAAAAAATGAGTTTTAATTATTTTTTTCACTTAATAATACTTATATAGATAATAGGAAAACATCCTCAGGTAACTTTTTTTATTAAAATGTAAACATAAATTTATTTAGAATAATAATGAAATAAACGAAAGCTAATTTGGAGGCCCTTCAGTAAATAAACATTCAAATCTTCTTAAAAATATAAATATTATAATGATTCTTTAAATAGTTAATGCACACTAAATGGGAAAAATATGAAATTAATTTAAGATAAATAAAATCCGAAAGTAAATAAAGGTCAATTAAAAATATTAAATCTTATAATAATTCTTTTATAAATAAATGCTATTTTTTTACGAAATCATAAGTTAAATGAAAATAAAATCCCCACTTTGCTTATTAGAAAATAAAAAGAAATTAAGGGTGTGAATCTGATTATATATCTAATTTTTTTTTTTTCTGATTTTATTTAGAAATTAAATAATAACGAATTGCATATTAAACAGTATTTTTTCTTTATAATTAAATAAAATTTATTTAAAATTTTATGAATTTTTATGAGTTACTTCCTTATAAAATATTAGAAAAGAAAACAAAGATAATATTCTCTAAAAAAAATATATAATAAATTTAATTTTTTAAAAAAAGGATGTAAAGAAAAAGCATAATTAATTTAAAATCTTCTTAAATTAAAGAATGTACTTTTAAGTTTATAGATGTAAATATGTGTTAAATATTTAGTATTTTTTAAATTTAATTTAATATCTTGTTTGTTTTTTATTTTTTTACTAAAAATATTTTTATTATTTAGTGTTTTTAAGTTATATATACTTTTAATAGCTTTCAAAAAATATAAAAAATTCTGATATTTTATATAAAACGTTCTTTAATTTAGATAAAAAAACATGATGATAATTGTATAAGAGTTAATTAGTTTAAATTTAAATAATTATACTTTTCTCAAATAAATATTTATTTTTTTTCACAAAAAAATTTAATATTCTTTTACATTCTTTTGTTTTTAATAATTTTTTTTTTTTAATCAACAACAAAAATTTTTTAAAAAAAGTTAATCAAAAAAAAGAATTTTAAAAAGTTAAAGAAAAAAATGGAAGTATATGAAACCATAAAATTAATTGGATCAGGTGCATTTGGTTAAGTATATATGGTAAGGCATATGCGAGAAGACAAATTATACGTAATAAAGAAAATAAAAACAAGAGACATGTGTTAAAAAGATCGAGAAAATACTGAAAATGAAGTTAGATTATTACAAAAATTACGACATTCAAATATTGTAGCTTACAAAGATAGTTATATGGACCGAGAACAATATTTAAATATAGTAATGATACATTGTGAGGGAGGTGATATGCATAATAAAATTCAAAATTAAAAAGGCAAACACTTTCCAGAAAACCAAATTTTAGATTGGTTAGCTTAAATGGCATTAGCATTATATTATTTACATGATAAAAAGATATTACATAGGGATTTAAAGACATAAAATATATTTCTTAAACATGGAAGGGTTAGGTTAGGTGACTTCGGAATTGCAAAAGTATTAGATTCTACAAGAGATTTTGCAAATACATGTATAGGTAAATACATTTTTATAATATAAATTTATATCAATTTCTATAATTAAAAGGAACTCCATATTACATGTCACCAGAATTATTTAAATATAAGCCTTATAGTTATAAAAGCGATGTATGGGCTTTCGGATGTGTTTTATATGAAATGTGTAATTTAAGACATGCATTTGATGCTTAAAGTTTAAATGGCTTAGCTGTAAAAATAATGAAAGGATCATATCCACCAATAAATTCAAGTTATTCATGGGGTTTAAGAGATTTGATTGGGAAAATGCTATAACTAGTCCCAAATAATAGGCCCAGCATTATCGAAATATTAAATAAGCCTTTTGTAAAAAAGAGAGTATTTTAATACATGTGTGAGATATTTAGCGGATAATATCCTGAAGTATGTCTTCCGAATGATATAGATGATATATATTAAGATAGTTTGAAAGATTAAGCATATAAATTAAATTTAATGGAAATAATATAATAATAAATATAGAATGGAAATGGAATAAGTGCACTTGATTTTGATGATTAAAGTCAAAAAAGGCCTCCAAAAAGATAAGGGTAAAGGGCTTTTTTGGAAAAAAAAGTATAAAAAGATAAAGAAGAATTGAAAAAATAAATTGATGAAAAATTAAAAATTGAAAAACAAATAAAAAAACTTGAGGATAAAAAATATTCATAAAATAATAAAAAAAGGTAATAATAATAAATATTATCGAAAGAAAAAATTCCAGTTAATTAAAAAAATAAATAAATTTCAAATAATAATTTTTAATAGCTTTAAAATTAAAAAAAAAAAAAAAATTAAAATGAAGATTTTTCTTTAGATTTAATCGAAAGGGAAAGCTTTGATTAAAAAAATGGTTCAACAAGTAAGCTTTCTGAAGGAGAAGATGATGAATAAAAAAGCCAAGATTAAGTCATCTTAGAAGAAGATAATGAAGAATCTGAATATGAGGAAATCGATGCAAAAATTGAGCTTATGAAAACTAAACTAAAAGAAAAAACTATAAAAATAAATACTTTAAAGGAAAGTCTTAAAGCAAATAATAAAGAATATCACATAAATGTGGAAGAGGAAGAAAACAATGACAAAATAATTGAAGAAGAAGAAAATATTTATTATGAAAATGAAGGTAATAATGATGAGTAAGAAGAAGAAGATGAAGAAGATTATACTTTTAATGAAGAAGAATGTGAAGAAAATATAAATGAAGATGAGAAAATAAACTATAATCCTTAATATTATAAAATTTAAGATAGAATTAAGCTGTTCATACATAGATGTGAAGCTGGATTAGGAAACGTTATATACGAAAAAGCTTATGATTTTGTGAAATATAACTAATAAAATACTTCTGTTGAAGATATGAGGACAAAACTTGTATAAATACTTTAGGCAGATAATATTGGGTTTTGGCATTTGGTTGATTAAATAATTTTTTTAGAAGAACTTCTTTTAACTATTCCTTAAGTGCTTAAATGAAAGAAAAATAAAAAAAATATATTTTTTTATTTTAATAATAATTTAAAAAATAAAATAAAAAATATTAATATAAATTTTATAAAATAAAGAATTATATATTGGCCTAATTAAAAAAATTGTAATCAAAATAAAAAAACTTTTATATATTTTATTATTTTTTTTAATCTTTATTATTATTTTTTTAATAGTTTTTTTTTTTTTCTCTTAAATTTCTTCTTATTTAAAAAAATAAAAAAATAAAGTGAAATCTCTTAAATATTCTTCAATTAACAAACTAAAAATAAAATAAAATAATAGAAAGAGAGAATATATATAAATTTATTTAAAAAATACTTTAGGAGTTTTCGGTCTCTAATTACTCGACTTTTTATCTCCTGGTTTTAATATTTAAAAGCTACACATTAAACTTTCATCAACGCTCATAAGAGCTCCGCAATTATCGAATTCTCCGCAATAATTTGGGGCTGAAAAAACTGTAACAAGTTGTCTTTTTGCAAAGAATTCATATCCATCTTCTACAACCTAATGGGCTCTACAAATCAAATCTAAATCGAATTTTTTTAAAAAACTGGAAACTACATCTGGTCCGTAAATATAACTTACACCTCTTTCATTGTCTGCCCAACCTAAAATGTCTTTTTCTGGATCACTCCATAATAAATCGCATAAAAGTCCTGTATCTGGAATTTCTATTGGTCGCATAATTCTATGAATAGTTTCTAAATTATTCAGTTCTGGAGATAACCCTCCATGCATACATATAATTTTTTCGTCTACTATAGCGCATATAGGTAAGCAATTAAAACAATCAGTAAATACTTTCCATAATTTTACATTATATCTTCTTTTACCTATTTTTTTGGTTTTTTTTTTTTAAATTATTTTTTCTTATAAAAAAAATTACATTCATCATAAAATCCATATATTCTATTTATTGAAGAACATTCATGGTTTCCTCGTAAAAGAAAAAAATTTTCGGGAAATTTAATTTTATACGCTAGCAATAAACAAATTGTCTCTAATGATTATTTTCCTCTGTCTACGTAATCTCCTAAAAACAAATAATTTGCTTCAGGCGGAAATCCTCCATATTCAAACATTCTTAATAAATCAGGATATTATCCATGTATATCACCTTTTATTAATTTTCTTAAAGGTAAATATTTTATATTTATATTATTTTTACCACAAATTTTTATTGGTGCCTCTAACTCTAACAACATTGGTTAAGATAAAAATATTTCTCGTGATTTTAAGCATAAAGCTTTAATCTCAGCTTCAGATAATGCAGAACTTCTTATCTTTGAAGATGGTTTTGATTCTATTAATTTTTCTATAATATCGTCTATATCTATTGATTGTTTTTACATTTATATGATTTACTATTTTTATTTTATTTTTTCCTTTTTTTAACTTTTACTTTTTTGGTTTTTTTTGGTTTTTTTTGGTTTTTTTTTTTTTTAAGAAAATTTGTTTATAAATAGTTATGTTTATAAATATGTAATTTTTTTATTTATTTCAATAAATAAAAATAATTAATATAATGCAAGCTATATACGATTTGTTGTATAACTTTATATATTCATTATTTTTATTTCTAATTTTTTTTTAAAATGATATAAAATAATATAAGGAAAATATTATTTTTGTATAATAATATTTTTAAAAATTACACATCAGATATAAGATAATTTTTTGATGATTAAAAATTATATAAAATCATTTTTTAATAATTTTAAAAATTAAAATGATTTTTATATTTAATCATTAAAATTATAAATACCGTTTTCAATTTATGGTATTAAAATTAAATAAAAATATTATTAAAATAATTATTCTAAAAAAAATAAAATAAGGCAAACTATATAGTTCTTAGATAAACTTTATTTATTTAATAAAAATAAACAGTATAATTTGGTAAAAATATTTATAAAATATAAATTTTTATTTTATTAAATTTAAAATTAATTATTATTTAATTTAAATAAAAACATATATGAAATAAAATAAATAAAAATTAAAAAATAATAATAATAAATATAACTAAATCATTTAAAAAAAACAACAATATATAAAAAAATGTTATTGTAAAAAGAAGTAAAAGAATCGGATGAAGCAGAATATATAAAAACATCATAATCAATGTAAAAAATGATTTAAATAGCAGAAAGGTTAACAAATTTAACTCCAGAAATTATTAAATGTAAAAATAAAAAAACAAAACAAAAAAATTCAAAGAAAAAAATAAAAAAAGTTATACCATCAGATAGTTTATTAAAACCAAATCGTCAAAATTTACCAAAAATAAATGAGTAATAATATTAAAGAAGCAATTAATTAAAAATTAAAGGTAAGAAAAAAATATTATTTTAAATAAGTATTAATTGTTTCATTTATTTAATGAAAGATCCAATAACTGGATTAACACCCATGAAACCAGAAAGTAGTGCGTATGATTGTGTAATGAGGGCTTAGGAGGTTGAATAATTATTGGAAGAACAGAAAGCTATTAATGAAAATCTAAAATAAGAATTAGAAATAAGAAAAGAAAGATGTGTAAAAAGAGAACTCGAATATAGAAAAATCATAGAGGAACTACAAAATGAAATAAGATAGAAAGCCGTTTTAGACACAAATGAAGCAAAAAAAATGGAAGTACCAATGAAATATCATCAAGAAATATTAGAAAGAGTCAATTAATTACAATTAAAGACATCTTTAGTTCTTATAGATTAAGAAAAGACAGTAATAAGATTTTTTAATGAGAAAATATCTGAAATAAAAAATAATTTGAAGAAGAAAGAATAAAAAAGGGAAAAAGTATTTTTTTTAAAAAAAATAAAGAATAATCAATATTTATATATTATTATTATAATTAGAGATTAAGATTATATATAAAGAGAAAATTAATTGATTTCTGAACTTGAATGGATAGAAAATATTGCACAAAAAATAGATAATGAAAATATTAATTTAATGAAAAAATTTATGGATCTTTAGGCTTAATATTAAACATAAGAAAATGATCGAGATATGTTATTGAAGTATTTTTTATATAATAAAGGAATAATATATATATATATATATATATATATATATATATATATATATATATATATATATATATAATAAATTATAAAAGAGAATTAATAATTAAGAAAAAAAGAATGCCATATTAAAAAGTTAAATTGAAAATTATGAAAAAATGCTAAATTAAGTCTAGAAAGAAGAGGAAGACTAACATGAAGAATTACAAGATAAAATAAAACAATTTGAAAGCGAAAACATATCGTGTATTTCATCAGAATAATAAAATAGGAAATAAAATTATTTGTCAACTAATAAAGCTCATTAAAAATCAATAAGCAAATCAACAAATTGTAAATAAGTAAAAAAAATAAGAAACCTCTATATAAAAATTTTGACACTTATAAAAAAAATATATATTATTAACTTAAAAAAACATAAAATAAATTAAAAAAAAGGGGTAATGAGAAAATATTAACAGCCAAATTAGTAATAAAGTGTTTAGAATTAAAAAAAAAGCACATTTTATTAAAAAACTAATAACTTATATGAAAAATAAATAAATGAAATAAAAACATAAATGTGTTAAGAACAATAAAGAATAAGAAAATTAAAATAAATGTACGTAAAAGAACTTTAATAAAAATCAGAGCTCGAAAAAATAATAAGAAAATGTGTTGAAGATATAAAAGAGGACATTATTTAATTAAAAGGGCAAAGTCGAATTGCTTTTTAAGGATAAGAAGAAGACTCTTTTAGGGGATAAAGAGAATAAGCAATCGAAAAATTACTTAATAATGAAAAAATACTGACTTTAATTTATGATAAAACATTTTATCCTGATATAAAAAATATAGATTCAATATCTTCAAATAAAAAGAAATATTGAAAGAATATATATATATATTTAAAAAAAAAATAAAAAAAAAGAAGATATATTAAATAAATATAAATAAATAAAATGAAAAGATTATTTTCTTATTATAATTTTTGTGTAAAAAAATCTCCATATTAAAAATCTTTAGAATTAAAATATTCACCTGAAAAAATAAAAACTGTCCAAGAAGATTTAAGAAAACAAATAAAAGAAACATTCGATTATTTATTATATATTAATAATTAAAAACGTGAATAAAACATGAAAATAAAGGAAAAGACATTATTAAAAAATAATTTTTAATATAATTTTTTCAAAGATTAGCCTAAATATTTAATTTTGAACAGTATTTTTTTATGTTCGTCTTTTTTTTTTGTTTCTTTTGCTTTTCCAATATATAAATATTCCTTATATTTTTTGGGATTCGCAAGTTCATATATATCTATATCCTTAAAAAAATATGAGATATCTAAAACAATTTCCTAAATTGAATTTATTCCTAATTAATTGGATAAAATAAATATTTATCTTTGCAGAAATGAAGAACCGATTCTTTGTTAAATTCAAACTATAGAAATAATTGATATAATGGAAATTTAAAATCATCCCTATGTAAATATAAAGCTTTTAAAGGAATTCAAAAATAATGATTTTGCACAAAAAGATATTTAAATTTAATTTAATGTTCAGGATATGAATGAAAAATGGTATAATGGATTAAATCTATATATTTATGGGAATATTTAACATTCTTTTGTTTAAAATTATCAACTTTTAGAAAATGTTATAACTTACTAATTATAAAATGTGGAGGATTGTTTAGAAATTAAAGAAAATTTGTATGATATCGTTACTAATGAAACTTTTTAGTAAAATATTTAATAAATTGATAAAGAAATTTTAGAAGAAATTTAAAAATTAGATCATAAAAAATGATATATAATAATACTTTTTTTATTAATTTATATAAAGTTATTTTTTTATTAAAAAAAAACAAAAAAAAACAAAACCAAACAAAACAAAAAATGTTTAAATAAATATTTATCTAAAAAAATAAATGTTTAAACACAAAAAAACATATATATATATATATATATAATTTTTTTTTTTTAAAAAAAAAAAAGGATTTCTCTATTTTTAAATTATACATATATACTCTATATATGAATTTAAATAAAAAAAGCAATATAAAATTAAATAATTCGAATTTCATTTTGAAACAACTTTAGCTTTTGGTTATGCAGTAGTTCCGGATCTGAAACCATTTTTAGCTCTTCTTGCAATTGTTTTCATATATCTCATTCTACCAGTTCCTTATCCAACTCTATCTTTTGCTTTTTATGCCCATCCGTCGTCTTTTAGTTTTTTTTTATTTTTTAAAGGATTAAAATAAAAAATATACATCTTCTGGTTTTAGCATCAGGAAATCCACATTAAGCACATCTTAATTTTTATTTATGGTAAGTGGCTCTTCCACATCTTCTGCATAATGTGTGTGTCTTTTAATGTCTTTTACCAAATGATGGTGTTCCTCTTGTCTATTTGTTATTTTTTATTATTTTTTCATTTGATTAATTTTATATACCATTTGCTCTTTTTTTGTATTTTATATTTTTTGTTTTGGGTTTTTTGTTTTTATTTTTGAAATTATTTATTTTAATAATTTTTTTAGTTTTATATTTTTTAGTTATTTATCTTTTTTTAAATTTAGATTTTTTTTATATTTATTTTAATGACTTTTTTTTATTGCTTAAATTTTATTTTTTATCAAATAATAATTTAAATGTCAATTAGAAAAAATATCATTTAACATTATACTTAATTGAATTTTACTTAACTATATTTTAAAGTGTTTTTATTTGAACAAAAAAATTCGAAATTATTGAAAAATAATTAATTCTTAATAAACTAATAATGAAAAATACTTTTTTTTTTAAAACAAAATGTAAATAAATAATTTAATTTTTTAAAATCTTATAAAAAGATAAATATTTATTAATTAAATAATTTTAGATATTTTAAAACCATTAAATCTCCACTAACATATATTATTGGAAAATTTAATTTATTATTTATAAATTCTTTAGGATTCATTAAATAAATCTTTTTGTTGATATGAATATATTACTAACCTAAAAATAATTTCTTAAAATTAAAATTAAATTTTTTAATAAATAACAGATTTCAGTTATATAAAATTTAAAGACTTAAAAATATGTTTTTAATTTAAAATAATTTCAATAAAATATAAATCACTAATTTTTATAAAAAATATCGCCAAAATATAAATGGATTTAACTACTTGGTTATGGACTTTTGACAAAAGATGGTTTTTTGGTATAAATTTTCCTTAACTAGACAAATTATGGTATTTTTTTCTTTTTTTTAATTTAAATTTTTTTTTAAATAAATATAATTCAAATATGAAAAACACTTAAAATATAGGTTATTTCCAATATCCATTGAAATTTTATTAGGAAGTTTAATTGTATATTCTTTATTTTTTCAAAATAATAAATGTTTACAATAATTTGGGTATGTAAATTGGCTTGAAACACAGTTGGCATTTTAAATAGTTTCTATAATATTTATGGCAATTTTAATATTTAAATTCAGACAGATAGATTTATAAGTTAAAAAATATTTTTTTAAATTAATTTAATGTGAAAATAATAATAAAAAAAAGGAAACACATAAATATACTTAAATCTAATAACATTAAATATCTCCTAAAAAGTATAAATATTGGTAAAAAATATTGATATTGTATATTTTAAAATACTTATTATTTTTTTAGGATTAGGACTAAAGGATTACTTTCAATTGTAGGTTTTGGTGTTCTAACCATTTCTTTTATAAAATTTATTTGGGTTTGGATAGGTTATATTTTATATACATAACATCCGTTTGATGATTGTAGTAAAAGCTTCTAGTTAACTTTTTTATCTAATTTTATTATTCCTTTAATATGTGTTTTGCCTATAGCATTTACTTTTATAATGTTTTGGATTATTAAGATATTTAATATTTTGTTTTCTTGGTTAATGCCTTCTGTTTATATATGGATATAAAAAAGGATATGAATATAAAAATAATAAAATAAATACATATTTTTAGATAAAAAATATTAATATAAAAAAATATATATATATTATAAAATTTTATATCAAATAATAATTAAAATTGTTGAAAATAAATCTTCTTTAAAATTTAACAAAAAATTAGACATATCCAGTACCGTAAATAATTTTAAATTAAAATAAAAAGATTAACAAGTAGAATAACGATTAGTAAAAACTGAGATTTTAATAAAACTTATAGTTAATCTAAATTGATAAATAAATTATAAAATCAATAATATATATAATATAGCTTAATTTATGGAATCAATAAGATCTATAATATATAAATTTTAATTAAAAAGAAAAAAAATATTCTAAAGAATCTTGTAAAAACCTTCACCCCTTCCCTTAATCTTTTAAAAAATCAATTATTGATCTATTAGAAGGGGCGAATAGGCGAAAGAGATTTTAATAAAAAATTAAGATTTCTTTTTTATTAAAAATTTATAAATAAAATTTAGAAAATAAAAATATGTATTTGCTATTCTTGAATTTAAGCAAGTAAAATCTTATTTAATATACTTTTTAATAAGATTTATTTTCATGTATATAAAATAAATAGGGTATAAAAATATACAAAATGATTATACATTATTATTGGAAAAAATATAGAAGCAGGTGCATTAAAATATATATGGTATTTAAGTGGTTCAAATTAAAAATATATTAATGTAAATATTAAAGATGCACGTAAATCGAACAATTCCTGAATTAGATAAATTATTATCAAGTATACAGGAAAAATGAAAAATAAATAAGTAGTAAATAGAATCTCTAAAAAATAAAAAGTAGAAAATCTAATTTAGTGCTTAATTTTGTGGTTAAATTAAAAAAATATGAGATCAGAACTTCTATATAGGTCAGATATGAATATAAATAGAAGAAAAAAAACTGCTTAGAAATTTATTTCTAGCTTTCAAAAAATTACTTGTTAAAAAAGAATAAGAAAATAATTATAATACTCTTCTTAAAATTATTTAAAGTGACTTTAAATAAATTGGAGAGGTTCATAAATTAAATGATGGCTTTAATAATAAAGAAGGCTTATTTATTAATAGTTAAGTTAGGAATAGCAAGTCTAAATTTGATAGTTAAATATTCTTTAAAAGTTTTAATTAAAATAAAATATAAATAAAGAGTAATTATAATATTTAAATCATTTAAACACTTTTCAAGATGAATATAAATATAAGATTAGTAGAAAAATTAGGATATGATATATAATAAAATAAAATTAAAAACTTTATTAAATAAATTAATAATTCACTAAGAGAATAACATTATTTTAAAATTCTTATTAAAATTTAAACTTTTAATTTAATTATGATTAAAATTAGGGTTTATTTAATTAAAGGTCACTTAAATGAATTTAGTATTTAATTATAAACATAATAAAAAGTTTAAAAAACAATATTATCAGTTTTATTATATCAATGAAATGTTACCTCTAATAAAAAAAATTAATTGTAATGTTTTTGTTTTATAAACAATAAAATTACTAAATTTATATTATCAAATAATATATTTTAAAATATAGTAAAATCTATTAAAAATTTTTTTAATTTGAAAATTTTTTACCAAAATTTTGTTTTTATTTTAATAAAAGATTAAAAATTATAATTATATTAATTTTACTTTTTTTGGTTCATATATAAATTATTTCTAGAAAAAATAAATAATTAATTAATAAATGAATAAGTGATAATTTTTATTAATAATAAAAAATAGTAATTATATATAATTATATTAAGATATTTTTTTGTAGAAATTTAACAATTCTGATAAAAATAAAATAAAATAAAAATACTGAAATAATAATTAATGGCTGAAATGCATAAAATAAAAGTACATAATCCTGTTGCTGAACTAGATGGCGATGAAATGACCAGAATAATATGGAAGTTGATAAAAGATAAATTAATATTCCCTTTCCTAGACTTACCTATTTAATACTTTGATTTAGGTATGGAAAACAGAGATGCAACAGATGATAAAGTAACATTAGAAGCTGCTGAAGCAATCTTAAAATGCAAAGTAGGAATAAAGTGTGCCACTATAACTCCTGATGAAGCTCGTGTAAAAGAATTTAAATTAAAAAAGATGTGGAAATCTCCAAACGGAACTATTAGAAACCATATTGGAGGAACAGTATTTAGAGAACCGATTTTATGTAAGAATGTTCCCAAATTAATTCCTTAATGGAAGAAACCAATTATTATAGGTAATATTATTTTAATAAATATATATTAATTAAATAATAAATAAAAGGGAGACATGCTTTCGGTGATTAATATAGAGCAACAGATTTTGTTGTAAATTAACCCGGAAAATTTGAAATTGTATTTACCCCAAAAGATGGTAGCGCTCCTAAAACAATGTAAGTTTATGAATATTAAGGAGGTGGTGTAGGAATGGGAATGTATAACACAGACGCATCTATAAGAGAGTTTGCTTATTCCTGTTTTAAATATGCTTTATAAAGACATGTACCTTTATATTTATCTACAAAAAATACAATCCTTAAAGCTTATGATGGAAGATTTAAAGACATTTTTGAAGAAATATACACAAAAGAGTTCAAAGCTTAATTCGAAAATGCAGGAATTTGGTATGAACATAGGCTTATTGATGATATGGTCGCTTATATGATTAAATCAGATGGAGGATTCATGTGGGCTTGTAAAAACTATGACGGAGATGTATAATCAGATTGCTTAGCTTAAGGTTATGGAAGTTTGGGACTTATGACTAGTGTTTTGGTTGCTGAAAATGATGTCATTGAATCAGAAGCTGCTCATGGAACTGTTACTAGACATTATAGATAACATTAAAAAGGATAAGAAACTTCAACTAATTCTGTTGCATCCATTTTTGCTTGGTCTTAAGGGTTAGCCCATAGAGCTAAACTTGATGGAAATAAAGAATTAGATGTTTTCTGTAAAACTTTAGAAAAATCTGTTATTGAATGCATTGAAGCTGGATTTATGACTAAAGATTTGGCAATTTGTATCTAAGGATCAAATGAGTTAATTTTTATTTTTATCTTTTATCTTTTATCTTTTATCTTTTATCTTTTATTTTTATTTTTTATTCTTTTATTTTTATTTTTTATCTTTTATTTTTTATATTTTTAGTGTTGATAGATCAAAATATCTTAACACTTAATAGTTTATTGATAAAGTTGCGGAATTATTAAGAAATAATTTAAATAAAGTTGCTCATCTATGATTTAAAAAATTATCAATTAAAATTTAATTTTAAATTAAAAATATTTATTATTTTTATTTTTATTTAATTAAATATTTTTTTTATTTTTTTGTTATATTTATTATATAAAATATTTAAATGAAAATTTATTATTTAATTTGAATTTATAGTCTTTTTATCTTGAATTAACATAACATAAATTTTTTATATATTAAACCTTGTATACTAAAGGAGTAGTAAAAATAATTAATACAATAACCGACTATGTATAGATTGAACTATACTACATGTCATTTAAAATTTAATTTTTTTCACTATTCTATAATATAAGGAACTCTAATAAAATTATTTTATCAAGCGAATGTAAAGGACCAAAATAATTTTTTTTCCTTTGCTATATATATGAAAATCCTTTTTTAATAATTAAAAAGAAATAATTTTGAATATATTTAATTATAAAATTTATTTTTTAAATTAAAATAAAAATACCTTTTATTTTGATAATGGTATTGTAACTTTATATTAATAATTTTATTTATATTTAAATAAATAAAATATTATTATAAAGATTTATTTTTATTTAATAAAAATTCAACACTTTTAAAAAATAAATTATTAGCATGTTCAGTGTCAAGCCGAATAAAAGTTATGGACTGATTTATTATATACTGACCATGATGTATTTTTTAAAAAAAGGACTGCTCTAGTAAGTCCAAAAAAAAAAAAATTATACTAATATGCATAAAAAACCTTTACATTGACATACTCTAATATATATTTATTTTTATAATATAAAAAAAATGACAAAGTCAAAAATATATAATATTTTATAAAAATAATATTTACTAAATTATTAATTGATAAAATATTAAAAATAAAATCAAAAATAAATATAATGGATATCAATAAATAATAGTATTAAGAAGAAAAATAAGAAATAAATACATAAATAAAAACTTAGCAATTAGAAAAAAAAATAAAGAAGCATAAATAAAATAGTTTTTAAGAAAAACCCAAAGTAAAGTTAACAGGTGCAGGAGTTTTTTTATGGGAATATTTTGTTAACGAAAATCCTCTTCCAGATTATCAAAACGAAGGATATTCGATAATATTATTTGGGTAAAAACAAAAAAAAGGCAAGTACAAAGATTAAATTTTATATACTGATCCTGGTGGAAAAATAGATTAGCATGAAAAAGCTTAAGATATTGCAAGTAGAGAATTATATGAAGAGAGCTCTGGTTTCTTTTTAATAGATAGCAGTAATTTTAAATATGAAAAAAGTTTTAGAATGGGAGGTACTTATGTTTTATTCAATATATTGGTGAAATCATAAAACGAAGAGAATATTAATTTACAAGAATTTTATGATAATTATAAATTACTATCTTAAAATTAGGCGACTCCTTCATTTTGGCTTGAAAGTTGTGAGATTACAAGATTATATGCAAAAGAAATTAATAATCTAATAACAAATGATCCTAAGTGTAAAAATATTCAAAGTATAAAAAATGTTTATGGACAAAGTATTAATATTGAAAGAAGAAGTATTGCAATTTTAAGCTCTTTATTAAGATCAAGTCATATATACAATTTTTAAACAGATACTTTATTGTTAAATAATTCTGTTTAATTAAAAAAAGAATAAGTAGTAAATAATGACAATTAAAATTTACCATGGATTTTAAATACTAAAATATATAAATCATAATGATTTTTATATTGTTTTATTAAATATATAGATATTTTTTTATTTTTTTTTTAAATAAAAATTATTATATTTCTTTAAAACAAATTATATTTTTTTTATATATATTTTATAATAATTGTTTTTATAAAACCATTTTGTAAATTTTGGCAATTATAATATTAATTTAGTTTTTTTATTTACATTATCAAATTTAAAATTTAAAAATGATTTTATTATATCCATTATATTTTTAACAAGAAAAAAATAAATCTATTTTTAAAATTAAAAAACTGTAATAAATGTTTTTAATTAATTTATTATTTATTATTTTCATTTATTAATTAAAATATCAAGTGTTTTACTTCTTTATAATTTTTTTATTTTTTCCTCAAAAAAAATAAAAAGTAAACAATATATGTATAATTTTTAATAAATGAATAAAAATTTAAATATTAAATTTTTTTCAAATTTAAAATATTTTATATTTAATTTAAAAAAAGTATAGAAAAACAAAAAAAAAAAATTAGAAAAAAAGAAAAAATAAAATAAAACTATTATAAAAAAGTATATATAAAAAAAAAATTATAGATATTTAAAGGATATTTCAAAAAAAAAAAATGATTATTTCATTATTTATATAAAGGTATTAAAAAAATAATATTTTTTTTCATAAAACTAAAAAAATAAAAAAAATATATTGATACTAAAATAATTATATGAATAATTAAAAAATATATTTATAAATTATTATTTTCATAATATCTAAAATTTTATATAAATATGTATGTATATATATATATATATATATATATATATATATATTAATAAATACGTATTATTAATAAATATAAAATTATATTATTACAATTATAATTTGTTATTTTTTTATATTTTTTAATTTTTAGATTTTATAAAAAAAATCATAGAATATTTTTATGTATAAATTAAAATAATTTATTTAGTTTATTTAATAATAAATTATCCATAAATCTATTGATAATTATACAATAAAATCATACGAAAATTTTATAAATAAGATATTTAATAAATATTTTTAAAAATAAATAATTTTTTTTTGTTTTTACGTTTTAAAATAAATTTAAAATACGTTTTTTATTTTCAAAAATAGTTATTAAAAAACGCATTATTAGTATAAATAAAAAATAAATAAAAAATTTAAAAAAATTAATAAATTAATTAAAAAAAAAATTAAAAAAAAAATGATAAAAAAATATAAATAAATAATCTTATTAATTGCGTTAACAATAACAAGTGTATAATCAATAAAAAATAAATAAGTATAATGTAATTTCTCTAATGAATACAATAACAATTATTTAGGGGGGTGTGTAAACGGAGATAATTGTAAAAAATGGCCTACTTTAGAAGAAGCTAAATCAGTTTGTTGTAGAACTGCTGGATGTGGTGGTATTACTTATAGTTCTTGGAGTAGTGCTTAAGGAAATGATATGAGAAATTTCGGTTTTTAATTAAGAGCAGGTAATTAACTAAATGCAATTGGTAATACTAAAGAAAAATCTTGGGTATTTAATGGATATTCATAAAATGTTGGTGATATTAATTTAGACAATTTAAAATGTTAGTTTGGAGCTTAAAAAAATGATCATTACTTAGGAGATTGTGTTGCTGGAGATGATTGCAAAAAGTATGCTACTTTATAAGAAGCTGCTTAGATGTGTTGTAAAACAGCAGGTTGTGGTGGTATTACTTGGAGTTCATGGAGTAATGCTAAAGGAAACGATATGGTTAACTTTGGTTATTAAATGAGAGGATAATCAAATCCTAATTATATTGCAAATACTAGAGAAATATCATGGCCTCTTACTGTAAGATAAAATGTATATAAAGTTGAAAATCCTGGTGATATTAATTAAGAAAAATTCAGTTGTAAGTTTGGAGAGTAAAAAAATGATCATTACTTAGGAGATTGTGTTGCTGGTGATGATTGTAAAATGTATGCTACTTTATAAGAAGCTGCTTAAATGTGTTGCAGAACACCAGGATGTGGTGGTATTACTCGTAGTTCATGGGTTAATGGTAAAGGAAGTGATTTAGTTAATTTTGGATATTAAATGAGAGGATAATCAAATCCTATTCCTATTACTACTTCTAGAGAAACATCTTGGCCTCTTAATGTAAGACATAAAGTTGAAAATCTTGGTGATTTAAATTTAGACAATTTAAAATGTTAGTTTGGAGCTTAAAAAAATGATCATTACTTAGGAGATTGTGTTGCTGGAGATGATTGCAAAAAGTATGCTACTTTATAAGAAGCTGCTTAGATGTGTTGTAAAACAGCAGGTTGTGGTGGTATTACTTGGAGTTCATGGAGTAATGCTAAAGGAAACGATATGGTTAACTTTGGTTATTAAATGAGAGGATAATCAAATCCTAATTATATTGCAAATACTAGAGAAATATCATGGCCTCTTAATGTTAGATAAAATGTATATAAAGTTGAAAATCCTGGTGATATTAATTAAGAAAAATTCAGTTGTAAGTTTGGAGAGTAAAAAAATGATCATTACTTAGGAGATTGTGTTGCTGGTGATGATTGTAAAATGTATGCTACTTTATAAGAAGCTGCTTAAATGTGTTGCAGAACACCAGGATGTGGTGGTATTACTCGTAGTTCATGGGTTAATGGTAAAGGAAGTGATTTAGTTAATTTTGGATATTAAATGAGAGGATAATCAAATCCTATTCCTATTACTACTTCTAGAGAAACATCTTGGCCTCTTAATGTAAGACATAAAGTTGAAAATCTTGGTGATTTAAATTTAGACAATTTAAAATGTTAGTTTGGAGCTTAAAAAAATGATCATTACTTAGGAGATTGTGTTGCTGGAGATGATTGCAAAAAGTATGCTACTTTATAAGAAGCTGCTTAGATGTGTTGTAAAACAGCAGGTTGTGGTGGTATTACTTGGAGTTCATGGAGTAATGCTAAAGGAAACGATATGGTTAACTTTGGTTATTAAATGAGAGGATAATCAAATCCTAATTATATTGCAAATACTAGAGAAATATCATGGCCTCTTAATGTTAGATAAAATGTATATAAAGTTGAAAATCCTGGTGATATTAATTTAGACAATTTTAAATGTTAGTTTGGAGCATAAAGAAATGATCATTACTTAGGAGATTGTGTTGCTGGAGATGATTGCAAAAAGTATGCTACTTTATAAGAAGCTGCTTAAATGTGTTGTAAAACACCAGGTTGTGGTGGTATTACTTGGAGTTCATGGAGTAATGCTAAAGGAAATGATATGGTTAACTTTGGTTATTAAATGAGAGGATAATCCACTCCTACTCCTATTGCAAATACTAAAGAAACATCATGGCCTCTTACTAAAAGAGATAATGTTATCTAAAATAATTGTCCTATTTTGTATTCAGAATGCGGTTATAAAGGAACATAATTTAAAGTTTGTGAAAATGTTCCTTCTACTGCTAATGCATCTTTTAAGAGTATATAAGTACCTTCAGGCTAAAAAATTACATTTTTTTCTAATGAAAATTATTAAGGTTAATAAAGAGTTGTTTCATAATCTATTGAATGTGATAATAATGGTATTTATATATTTAACTAATTAAAAGGTTCTCATATGATCTAAAAAGCTTATAATCAAAAAAATTAACATTATTATCTTAAAAAATAAGATTGAATCTTAAAATTATTTTTTATATTTTATTTATCCCTTTTTTAAAAAAATATTTTTATAAATGAATTATATTATTTTAATTTATTATATATAATTTTATTTTATATTAAAAATTTTAATTTTTTAATATTAATATCATTAATATATTTTATTTTTTAAATTTTTTTTGATATAATAAATATCTAAGATTAAATTTTTCTTCTTCTTATATATTTTAAAAGTTTTTAATTTTATAAATTACAGTATTTTAAGTATGAATTTATTTGCTTTTTTAAAAAACTTTTATAAATTTTATATTATATTTTTTAATCAAGATAATTTTAATATTATAATTAATTTATATTTTTTTTAATATAAAATTTAATATTTTTGCATTTAAAATTTTTTTAAAAAAATAATGGTTTATAAATTATAGAAGTTATTTTAATAATTTATAGTTATAAATTCGTTTTAAATTTAATAATATTTAAAAAATCTTTTTTCACATTATTTTTAATTTTTAGATTGGTAAGTAGTACGCAAATATAACTTATTATTAATAAAAACCAAACTTAAAAAAATTAATTTTAAAAAAATAAAAAATTAAAGAAAATATCAAAAAATATAATGTTTTCAAATAATTTTTAAAATATTAAAAAATTATATAAATTTATAAAAAGAAAATAATAAAATAATTATTATAATATTAAAATTAAATATAATGTTTTATTTATATAATTTATTTTATATAAAAAATTAAATTAAATAATATATATGTATTAAGATATTTAAATTAAAAATATTAAAATAAAATATAATAAATGAGTAATAATTTATTGTAATATACTACAAAAAATATAGTAGAATTTAATCTATACTTCAACTATATCAATATATTGACTGATATTTTTAATGTTGCATATATTTAAAAGAACATAACACTTCGAGAAAAGGCATGCTTAAATATTTTAAAATATTTATTTAAACTATCAATCTAAATTTAGTTTTTTTTTTTCCTAAAATTTATTTAATTTCTTTAGTATGAGTTAATTATTGTATTTTAAGTATTTTAGTTGAAATTTATTTTTTATATAAAACTTTTTAATTTTTTATAAAAATTTATAAATATTTTTTCAAAATAAATAGTGTATAAATTATTAATAACTTTTTAAATATTTTTATTTAAGTATAAAAAAAAATCAATTATAATTAAAATTAAATATATAAATTATCATTATTTATTAATTTTATTTGATTTAATTAAAGTTAAATATTTACAATGAAAATATAAGAAAAAATATTAAATTTTTTATTATTTATAGAAATAATATATAATTTTGTTGCTTTTTTATAAACAAATACTAATTAATATACAATATTGAATAATTATTAATTATCTATGTATTATATAATCAATTATAACAAATTAATTATAATAGACAATTTTGCAAGTTTATTTAAGTTTTTATTTTAAAGTTATAAAAAATAAATTTTAAAAAATTATTTATGAAAAATATACGGTTTTGTAAATAGAAGTAATGTTAAAATAAACCTATTAAATGGATTTGTTAACATACATTATGTTTGAATTATTTAGAATTATGTGATGATTGTTGTAATACACATAAACAAAGGCATCTTTAAGTTAAAGTCGATAATGAGCCAATAAAAAATGATTTTATAATATCTTTTGATGAAAAAAAAAATCAGGTCTAGCATATTTTAATAAAAATAAGAGAAGATCTTGAAAAACTATAAAATACTGTTATTAAAGAATTAAATACATTGGAAGGTCCTGATATACCAATCGAAAGTACAATAAAAGAAATTTAAGAAATAAAAAATAAAATTAATTAAGAATTTGATGCTTTTATATAAAATTTGAAAGAAAAATATGAAAATCCAATAAAAAATAAACTAAAAGATATTTATGAAGAAATAAATTAAAAACTAGGAATTACACTTTAATTTTTAAATGCATAAGACATAAACGACACTATGAAAATAATTTGTTAGAATGACTTTCCATATTAAGTATTATTTCAAAAAGCAAGATTAGATTAACTAATACTCGAAAGATAATCTTAAAAGTAAACATAATGATATATATATATATATATAAAATCTATTTATATTTAAATGAAAAAATATACATTGTTTCATTTAAATATATATAAAGATATGAAGGAATTCTTGATAATGATGTAGTTTTAAGATTTATTGGAACCTTTTAATAAGAGTTAAATAATTTAATTTACTTTCCAGAAGATAAATAAAAATAAATTGAAAATCAAAAATAATTAATAATAAATGAAGATTAGTTAGTTGATTTAAAAAAATGCCTATTTTACTTTGAATCAGGAACGAAAAATTTTCACTATATAAATATTAATAAATAAAACCCATAATTTAATACTATTTAATTAAAAATGGATTTCAATATTCACTGTAATCATAGGTATTTATTATATATTAATATTAAAATAATTATAATAATAAAAGATCAATATATGCAGGAAAACATATATATTTAATAGGAGGTTATGATCCTTTTATTATTAATTCTGATAATGAAAATCACTTCAGATATATTTATTAATTGGATTTTTTTACTAAAGCATTAATAAAAGTAGGAAGCTTAATTACTTTAAGGCATTCTTTTTCAATATGTTGCCTAAATGAATTTATTTATATTGTTGGTGGTTATAATTATATAAAAGGTACTTTATCAAAATGTGAGAAATTTTCAATTCAAGAAAATAATAAAAATGTAACTTATCCAATAAATAATTTATAATAAAAAGCAATGAATGCGAATTTAATAGGTTACAAAGACAGGTATCTATTTAAATTTGGAGGATTATAGCATATTGCGTACAAAAACAAGGTAAAAAATATTTAATAAGAACTTTTTATAAAAAAATAAAAAATAGAATGATATTAAAAATTATTTTGTAGATTATTTTTTTGAAATTTATGATATTTAAACTGACTAATGGATTACAAATGAAAATTTTTAATATTCGAAATTAAATATTTCTTATTTAAGTGGAAGTATTGAATTTAATGATAAAATATATGTTTTCGGAGGAATTGAATAAAGTTAAAATAAAACTTTGAGTTTAAATGTTTTGGAAAATTAATTTAATAATTAAAATGTATTGAATATAAAAATTGTTTAAAAAAATGAAGTCTAAATTAACTCTTGTTTAATTTTATAATAACCTATAATTATCTTTTAGTAAAAAAATAAAAGAATATATTATCTAGAATTTAATTATGATGAATAAAAATAAAATTAATTAACATAACCAAAAATAAAACATATAGAAATATGAAAGTGTTTATAATAAAATATTATAAAAAGCATAATACGAATTTTAATTGATAATAAAAAAAGCTTTTAATATTTATTTAATCAAATAAATATTATAAATATATATATATATATATATCTTTATTTTGAATATAAATATTTATATAATAAATTAAAAATTTATGTTTTTTTATAGTTTATATTTTTCAAAAAAACTATATATTATATATTTTTTAATCCTTTTTTCATATATTTAATATTTCATCAAAATTATTTAAGTTAAGAAATTTATTTCTAGAAGTCTGTTAATTTTTCGAAGGTATATTAGAAACTGATAATTATTATTTTGTTCCATTATAATCTTTTTATTTACTATATTCCCTTCCAATGTTTTGCAAAGCTTTATGTTTTCTTAAAGAAGACTAAGTAAAATAAATATAAGAATTATTTAAAAATATAAAAAGAATTTTACTGCATTATTATATCCTTCTAAATTTCCTTGTCCTTATGATTTAATAATTTCAAATTATTTTTCCCATTAATTTCTAGCTGTAAAAAAAAAAAAAAAAAAGAATTAAAAGAATATAAAAATAAAAAGAAAACCTTTTTAAAGTAGTCCTTTTCCTGCATTAATTTTTTAGTGATCGAAATTATCAGAAAAATCAAACTATTCTAAGCCTAAAGCTTACAAAATTTTCTTATAAACATCAAATAAATTAAAGAGTATAAGAATAATTAAAATCATTGGGAAAAAATATGCATTTGCTTAACCTAAAATAGGAACTTCGTCCATTGTGCCAATTATTTTTTCAAAACAGGAATTTTTTAATCCTAAAATTTTCAAATAATTATAAGAAATAGGGGCTGATACTCTTGCGAAATTTCTTGTTTTATTTTTTATTTTTTTTATTTTTTTATTTTTTTCATACTTTTTTATTATATTTTATATATTACATTGAATAAAACATTAGACTTGGAGCATCTGTTTAATGATATTTATATAATCCAAAAAGACCGAATATTTTAACTTTAAAAAGACCATAATAAACACAAATTGAAATGTATATTAAGGGAATTAATACTAAAATCTTTTTTTATATGATTATATATTTTTATATATTTTACTTACTTATGTAATAAATTAGTTCTCATATTATAATATATATCCTAAAGGATTAATAAAATTTCCAGTAAATATAGATATTTCTCCAAATAATATAATACAAGAAAGGAAAGTAAAAAGAATAAATAAAAATATTTTAACATTTCTCTTTAATTTGCAAAAAAAAAACCATTCAAGCATGTCAATAAATTCTCCTATTTTGCCTTTTCTCTAAATAATAAAAATCCCTTGCATTTTATAAACAGATGAATATTTATTAGAAATAATATCTTCAGTAAAAAAATAGGTATCAAGTAAATTATCCCATTTGGTTTCTTCTCTTTAAAGTTCTTGTACTTACTTTTTAATTTCAGTATTTAAATTAACTAATTTCTATTCGTTTACAGTTCCTAATTCATCTACTTATTGTTTAATAAAATCTTAAGAAATAGTGTTTTAAGTTCTACAATATTCTAAAATTTCAGGAGGAACTTAGCTTAAAATAATATCAAATTAATATTGGTATTGAGAATAATATTAAGATAAATAATTTATTAATTTAATTTTAGATTCAAGCTTATATTTTAAATCAATTTTACTTTCATCTAACTATTCAGCTTAAAATTCACAATATCTTTTTTTTATTTAATATATAATTTTATTTATTTTTCCAATTACTTTAAGATTGTCTCTTCGTTTCTTTCTCTCCACATTTATTATGGAATCGAAACTAATCCATATCCAAGTAATATTACAACTAAGAAAATTCCACTAAATAAGAAATTTATAAAAAAGTAATAAATTAATTTAATTTTTATTATTTAAAAAATAAATTTTATAATTATAAAATGAGTTTATTATATATATATTTGTTTTACAATCCATTTGCTAATCCTATTAAAAATCCTTCAAGCTTGTCCCTATATAATATTTTTATTTTTTTCCTTTAATATTACTTTTTATATTTTAATACCCTGTAATTTTTCCTGTAAACACTAAATATATAATAAATAATAAGCCTAAAACACATATTCCACTATATATCAAAAAATTTATTTTGATAGATCTTTTAACTTTTTCAATATGAGTGAAATCTCCTGCATCTTCATAATCTTAAAAAAATGGCAAAATAAATCTAAAAAATTAATTTATATAAAAATATAATAAATTAATTATGATTATTTAATATTATATTTTACATCGAAAATATAAAAGTTAGCCAATAGACAGAGCGCCAAGTCCATATAATTGCTTAATGTTCCTCATAAAATTATTAATTATCACAATTTTAATTATTTTGACATTATGGATTTGTTCTTTAATATTCTACTGTCTATTTTATATATATATATATTTTTTTTAATATTATGTTTGAGTTTTTCAAAACCTAAAAAATATCTAAGGGTAATATAAAAGTAAATCCAAATGATAAAGTCCATGCAAAAAAAGATATTAGCTTAATGTGAACTTTTACTTCTTTTTAAGAATACTTATTTACTAAATACCAAACAAAAGAAAGAAGTAAAACTAATTAAATAATTATTAAAATCATCAATAATTTTATAAATAATATTTTAAATATATAAAAAAATAAAGGTAAAATTAAATATAATTATTCGAATAAAATATAAAACAACAATTATATAAATATAAATAATTTATATTTATTTATATAATTAAATATTTAAAAATATAAAATTTTTATTTTATTAAAAAAATATATTTTATTTTTAAATTTCTAAAAATAAATATACATGAGTTTGTTTTCTTAAATTAATTTAAATACAGGAACTGATGAATAAATTACTTAAATATCTGTATCTAATGTTTCAATGAATCCATCATTAGCGTTAACAACAGCAAATAAAATTATGCTTTTTAATGAATCAGGAGAAAAACATGATTATGAATTATCAAGAAATATACGACCTACATATATTTAATGGCATCCTTTATTACCTACTATAGCTATTGGATGGGAAAATGGTAATTATTCATAATTTCTAGTAAAATAGATTTATTATAAATATATAAAAAATAGGTACTATTACTTTGTGGGCAGAAGACTCGAAAACTGCAAAAGAAGAATTAAATGGACATAAAGAGTCAATTACATTAATATAATATAATCCAAGTGGTTCTAGAATGGTAACGGCTGACATAAGTGGAAATGTATCAGTTTGGAGAGGAATCAATATCGTTTCTTAATATAAAAAAGATGGTATAATAACTCATGCAATATTTAGTGAATTAAATATTGATAGTAAAATGAAAACTGGTAAAATATATATATATATATATATATATATAGATAGCAAATAATTATAAAATCTAATAAAATTTTTTTATATTAATTTAATTTTTTTTTTTTTTTCAAAAATAAGGGAATTTATTTTTTTTTGGTGGAAAATCTGGTATTGTATGCTTAGCTGATGATGTAAATCATTGTTCTGATGTATGTAAAGTAGGAGGAAGTATAAAATCTTTATTATTTTACGAAAAAGAGAACAGCGTAATTATAATAACTAGTACTTTATTATTAGTGATGTTTAAAATATCCACATCAGTAAAAAATGGTCCAAGTAAAAGAGTAAAATTATCAATAGCCGGAGATCCTTAGAAGCTTTAATCAATTTGGATAGGAAGTTGCTTACTTTCGACATGTTCGTGTGAAAATATGTTAAGAATGTGGCATTTAGATTAGGATGATAATTATGTATTAACATTACATAACTTACAATTACAAGGTAGTACTAAAGGTTCTAATGCGATTTAAACTGGAGGAATTATGAACGACTAAATAACTGCTGTTTAATATGATAAAAAAGGAAAAGTTTTGATTGGAGGAACAAGAGATGGGAAAATTATTTTTTGGAAAAATCTTGCAGTAGGGAGTGAAAGTCCTTTAGGAGTGGATGAATGGAAACTACTTCCTTATATTTAAGTTCCAAAAAATGTTGTAAGTATTAGTGTTGGATAAAATAACGGGTTGATTGCTGTTTAAAATGCGAATTAAATAATTTTGGTTTAAGAGACGGTTATTAATGGAAAAATGACTGATTAAATTAAATTGTTATAAACAAGTTCTAACACTATTAATATATAGATTAATAATGATATATCTAATTAGGTATTTTATTTTAAAGAAATAAATAAAATATAATTATATAGAATTTCTCATTTATATTTGAATCAGATGAAAATATAAAAGGATTAGATTGTAACGATTAATATATGTTATTTTGGACAAGTAAACATATAGAAGTTCATGAAATTGTTACAAATTTAAGTAAAAAAAAATAAACTAAATAAATAAATAAAAAAAATAATAATAAAAGAGGATGCATAGACAAAAAAAATAGCATTGTTGAATGAAAAATGTCTTAAAGCTATTATTTTTAAAGAAAATCTTGTTTTGGCTAGAGACTATGAATTAAATGTTTTAAATTTCAAAGGAGTTTGTAAATAAACATAAAAGTTTTCAGAAAGTGAAGGAAAAATGGTCGACTTAAATACTCTAGGAATTTTTTTAGTGATGTGGACAACAAATAATTATATTAGACTTTTTGATATAAGTAGAAGAGAATTAAAATAAAATGGAGTAACACGTCGTTTTGAAGACTCTTCAGGGCCATTAGGACATATAAGAAACTGTGCAATTAATGCGGATGGAACAAAAATAGTTATTACAGCTGATTAGAAAGGAAAAGCAGGTTCAAATGCGGATAATAAGTTTTATATTTATGATATTAACATGGATAATTTTATTTCTTATTAATTTTCAAAAGAATATATTCCTTTATAGGCTTTTTGTGATAGAAAAGATAGAAAGTTTTTCGGAATTCTTTGTAATGTTATAAAAGATGTATTTTTTTGTTATTTAAAAGTAAAAACTAAAATATAAATAAAAAAAGGGAAGTGTAAGCAATTAAGAAAAATAAGAAAAAAACAATTAATCCAGAAATTCTTAGGATTCAGAAGGAGAAGAAAAAGAATTAGGAAATTTAGAATTATTTACATTTTTTGTAACTTCAGAAAGCAATATTAAAAAATAAGATTCGTACAAATTAGATGTTTATATTGAAGGAATTTTTGGTATAATTTTTTTTTATTTTTTTATAAATATAAAAAATTAAAGCAATTGATATTCCGAAATTATATTTCATTAAAAGAAATTAAAATTCTTCGAAATCAAGCTAAAACTATATTATTAAAGAAGAATTTCTAAACGATTTCATAGGCTTAGATAAAATTGATTTAACTATAAAAGAAGCGATTATGAATTTCTCTTTTTATTTAACATCTGATAATTTAGATGAGGCATATAAATCTGTAAAATCAATATAAAATCCTGCCATTTGGGAAAAAATGGCTTAAATGTGTGTAAAAACAAGAAGAATAGATGTTGCGGAAATTTGTTTAGGAAATATGAGATTTGCAAGAGGTGCAAAAGCAATAAGGGAAGCCAAAAAAGAATCAGAACTAGACGCATAATTAGCTATGGTCGCAATTTAATTAAATATGAAAGAAGAAGCTTAAAATTTATATTAATAAAGCAAAAGATTTGATTTATTAAATAAAATGTTTTAAGCAGATGATTAGTGGGATAAAGCAATTGAAATTGCCGAAAACTAAGACAGAATTAATTTAAAAAATACATATTATAGAACTGCTTAAATGCATGAAGTTGAATAAAATTATTAAGATGCTATTATTTTTTATGAAAAATCTGATATGCATATGTAAAATTTTAATTATTTATATTTTTTTATATTTTTTTTATCTTTTTAGAAAAGAAGTACCTCGAATGCTTTTAGAAGCTGGTTAAATTGATTATTTATAAAAATACGTACATGAAAAAAATGAAAAACCTTTATTTAAATGGTGGGCCTAATATTAAGAATCTTAAAAATAATTTGACTAAGCTTTAAAATATTACAAATAATCATAAGAATATGATTCAATGGTAACAAAATTATATAAAAAATTAATAAAATAAATATAATAAAGGTTAGAATTTTATTATAACGTGGTGATATTTAATCTGCAAAATAAATTTGTTCTGAATAAAAAGATCCTTCCGCCTATTATGTTTTAGCAAAATTTTTGGAATAAAATGATTAGTCTATATAAGAGGCTATCTAGTATTATTGGAAATCATAGCATTATGCACAGGCTGTTCGCTTGGCAAAAGAAAGAAACTTGAATAATGAAGTTATGAGTATTTCATTATAAGGACCTAAGTTAGTTAAACTATAGTCCGCTTAATATTTTGAAGAAATAGGATTTAAAGCAAAAGCAGTTGAGTTATATAAAAAAGGAGGAAATTTAATAAAAGCTTATAATTTGGCATAAGAAGAAAAACTATTTGATGAAGCTAAAGAAATAGGGAAATTAATGGAATAAGAAGAAGAAGTAAGAAATAAAAAAAGAGATCCAAGTGATTTAAATGGAATAATTGATGATTTTATGGAAAAAGGATAAGCTGATAGAGCTGTTCCTATCATGATTAAAAGAAAACAATTTGAAAGAGCAATTGAAACATGTTTAAATTATAATATACCCATGACATAAGATCTTATAGAGTAAAAAAAAATAAAAAAATTAATAAACAAATTATTTTAAAAATAGAAAAATTATTCCAAATGATCCTCCTAAAAATGCAGCAGAGGAAAGTAAAAGGAAAGACTTATTAAAATTAATAGCAAATGCATTAATAAAATAAGGAGATTTTAGATAAGCAAGTAAAATATATACAAAACTCGGAAATTAAATCGACGCTATGAAATGTCTTATAAACCTTGGAGCAATAGATGAGGTAGTTAATTATGCAACAATGGCACGTATGCCTGAATTATTTATTTTGGCTGGAAATTTCCTTCAGACAGCCGATTGGCATAAAAATCCTTAGTTGATGAAACATATTATTACTTTTTATAATAAAGCTAAAGCTTTTGATTAGTTAGCGGGATTTTTTGATGTTTGTAGTACTGTAGAAATAGATGAATATAGAGATTATGAAAAGGCAATAGCTGCTTTGAATGAAGCTTTAAAACATGCTAAAAAATCAACTAGTGAAAATAAGGATATGAGAGTTTAGTATTTAGAAGGGAAAATCCATCATATTTAAAGATTTGTTTAAGCTAAATAATTAACGTAAAGTGATTCTTAGTAAATGATAAAGATTTGTGAAGATTTATTAAATTAACCAGGGATTGATTAGAACGTTAAATGTGGTGATATATATGCTCATATTATTGAATATTATTATGATTCCTAAAATATGTAAAAGGCTTTTGAATATATAAAGAAAATGTAATAAAATAAAATTGTTTTGGCTCCCTTTTTAGATAATGAAATGGTATTTTATAATTTTAATTTTAAATTTATTTATTTAAAATTATTTAAAAGCTATAACAAATTTTAGAAAGCTAGGGAATCACTAATTATAAACATTAAAAATAAAGTAATAATAACGATGATGAAGAAGTTATAGATGAAGAAGTAAATGATAGTTGAATTTATTTATTTTTTCAAAAATTTATAACTATGAATTTTATTTATTTATTAAATAAGAATAATAAATATTTTTATAAAAAATTTATTTATATTTTATTTTTTACCAAGTAAGATATAAATTTAATTTCGAATAAAAAAAAGTCTTATTTTCATTTATTATTTAAATTTATAATTTTATAAATTTCTATATTTACTTAAGGCATTATTTCGTTAAAATTTTAGTCGTAATCTTTAATTTATTATTCTAATAAAAATATTTTTTACATTTCTGTTTCATAAAATTGCTTTTCATTCTAATTCTAATAAACTTATCGCCATAATTTTCTATTTTATTCGAATTAGTTTTGAGCATAAAGCAATGTATGGTAATTTTACTCACTTGTAATTTATAAATTATATTCTAAATTATCTAAATTATTAATTAAATCTTTTTCATTAGAAAATTAATAATCAATATTCATCTATTTAAGAAAATTATTGATTTTTTAAACTGAATCCATAGAATTTTAGTAAAGAAAATAAAGGAAATATTTTATTTAATATTAAATATAATAAAAACAAAAAATAATTAATTTTTATAAAAAAAAAAATATTATTTTAGTTTATTAAACTATACTTTTAATATTAAGATTTAATTTTTATTTATATTTAAGTTAAAATTTAAATTTTCATGAGGAAAGATTATTATAAGTTAATAGTTTATAATAAATTTTTAATCTCATAAAGAGAAAATTATAGAAATCTTAATATTTATTTTTTAATCTAAATATAATTATTATTAATAATTCATATAATTATACATATTCACTATATTGTAAATATTTTAAATTTTATTTTAGTTTGTTTTTTAAATTTATATTGAACTTATTATAAATGATTTTAATTTATAATATAAGAAAATTTTACATGAGAAGTATATAAAAAAAATTAGTTTAAAAATAGAGTTTATACAAGAGAAAAAAAAAAGAGCATTTTAGTAAATTGTATTCATGAAAGCTATTATTTATAATTACGATATTTAAAAAATAAAATATAAATTTTTTATAGATTTAAATACAAAAAACTTATTAAAAATGTTCAAACAAATTAATTATTAAATTATTCTAATTATAATAAAAAATTGATTATTATTATAAAAATACAAATTATAAATAATATAATGCATTTATTTATTTTATAAATAAATTAAATTTTAATTTATTTATAAAATTATGTTTGAAAAATAAATAAATATTTAGAATATATTTTGTTAAGCTTTTTTTATAAAAAATGAAAATCATAAAAACATTGTATTTTTATTAATAAAATAAATTTAGAATATTAAAAGTTTTTTTTATTTTATAAAATAAAGTTAAATTATTACTTTGAAATATTAAATATTCATATTTTTTTTTTCTTATTTACTTTAATAAATTTTTAAAAATTCAATTAATAAAAAAAACAATACATTCATTAGCAATTTTTCTCCGATTTTTTTTTTTTTCCTGGTTGTGAGTTTTTTAAAAAAATGACAGAAAAAATAAAAAGAAAAACTTAAAAATAAATAATATTTAAAATCACAAAAATATTTTTTTTTTTTCTATTTAAAAAGCATTCTAAATATATAACAAAAAAAATCATAATAATTTTTTGTTTTATTATATTTTTTATATATAAATTTAAAATATATTTTATTAAAATAACAATAATAGAATTTTAAATTCAATATATAATATATAAATAATTTTCTAATTTTTAGAATATAGATATATTAGATTAATAAAATAAAATAAAAATATCCTAATTAATTTAAAATGAAATTTGAATAAATTTAATAAAACAAATTTTACTTAAACTAGTTTTAAAGCAGTAAAGACATTTAAATTTCTTCATAAAATATTGAAAACTAAATTATTATGTTTCAAGAACAAAATTAAGTAAATAATAATAAAATATTTAACAAAAAAAACTTAATAATTTCTAAAATCAATATAGAAAAAAATAAACACATCAAAAAGAAGTAAGTATAACATGTACAGTGAATAACAAAAAAAAGATTTCCTATAGTAATGTATAGAAAAGCAAATACCATGTGAAATAGCCAAAAAGATGTAAATATCTATAAAATGTGCTAAAAGATGGATTTATAACTTTAAGCCTTCTAGGCTTGAAGGGGGAGGACGTAAAATAGTAGACTTTTAATTAGAATAGAAATTAAGATTATGGATTTGCATATTTTTCGTTAAAAATTAAAAGGCTCCATCAAGATAATAATAGTTAAGTTAAGCTTTAAAAACTACAATATATAAAGGGTATTTTTAGGCCAGTAAAGGTTGGCTAGAAAAATATTTAGATAGAAATAATTTAAAAGTTTATATGGACTTTTTAAAAAAATAGCCAATTGTAACTTTTGAACTTATATCTCAAAAATTTATTATTTTGATTAAAAATATTAATAGATAAGGTTAAAATTATTTAATATTTATTTTATTCAGAAAAAAAACAAAAAAAATAGATATATTATAATAAGAATAAAGACTAAAGCAAAAAAATTGTTTAGTGTAATAAAATTAAACTTTTTATTAATAAAATAATGATTTAAATGTAAATAATTCAGAAAGCTTTAAAAACTTTAAATAGAAAAATAAAAATATTTAAAATAAATAAATAAATTAATAAAAAGGATATACTAACTTTAATTACTATGATTGTAGTTATTAAAAATATTATGATGATTAAAAATTTGGTAAATTCTTTTAAGGAAACCAATTTATTGAAAAATTTAAAGATTTTTCTAATTTTAATCTTTTGATTAATATTAATAGTCTCTTTAATTACAATAAACATAAAAGTTTCGAAGAATAAATGCTATAAATATATAATAACTAAAAAAAACTTTAAAAATAAAACAAATAAGCCAAAAAGGGTAATTTAAAATAAGTAGTTATGTTTAAAAAAATATAAATTAATGTGAAAAAACCTTTATCGGAAGAAATAATTAGGAAAATAGAATTTAATTTATAAAACTAAAACTAATTTTCGAAAATTAAAAAAAATAAAATAAAAACTAACATTTAGGATAAATATTAAATTGAATATAAGTTTTTTTGTGATATTTTTAAAGAATTTGGATTGGATGGATAAAACTTTTTGAATTAATTTGAATAATCTTTTATTTGAATAAAAAATTTAAGAAAAAAAAAAAAAAAAAAAAATTTAAAATAATTTATATTAAGTTTTTGAAAAGAAAGTTAAGTATTTATTCTTATAAATAAATATATGTAATTTTATATTTATTATAGTTTAAAACAATTAAATCTAATATAAAAATTTAAATTATATTTAAATTAATATAAATTTAAAAATAATAATAATATGAAACTATGTTATTTTTAATTTTCCATTTTTCTTGTAAAAATAATTAATTAATTTATTTTTCTAAGGATTAAACAATTTTTTAGAAAAAGATAGCACCGTGATTAAGCTAAGGATGTTTTTAGAAATTTTTTCTGCATTGTATATAATATATATTTTTATATAGTTTTTAACTAAAATAAAAAAAAGAATTTTAAAACTAAGTCGTAGATTTTTAAATTTTCATTTCATTATGTTATTGTGAACTTATGCTAAACATTTTTTTGAAATCAGAATTTTAGGAAGGGAAGGTAAAAAATCTATTTAAAAAAATAATATTTATACATATTTATTATATTTAAAAATTATTTTTAGAAATTAAAAAATTTTTGAGATAAAATTAAAGTAAATATATAATTATATATAGATTAATTAAAAATAAAAAATTAGTAAAAATATAATTTATTCGTTAACAAAATTTTATAAAATATTTACAGATATTTTTTCATTTAAATATAATAAAATAAATCCAATAAATAATAATGAATTAAAATCTAATACATAAAAAAATATAATTATTAATTTACTTTGTATAAATAATTTAAAATTGTTTCATATTCATATTATATATAATTATATTAATTAGAAATCTATTATATTGTGTCTTATATTTTAGATATTTTAAATAGTATATTAATTTTAAAAATATTTTTTTTTTTAATTATTAAAATATATTATTTATAATTTATTTTAATTATATATATATATATTTATATATTAATATTTTTTTAATTTAATATTTTATACTTATTTTTTTTTTTAATTATTTTATTTTTATATTAATTTTTTTTATTTAAAACTTCAAAATTTTTAAAAAATTTAAAATTTATAATACTAATATTTTTATTGCTATTATCTTTTAAAAATTGTTTTATATAATTTTTTTATTATTACAATTTTTTTTTTTAATTATTATACTTTTTTATTTTTATTTAGTAATCTTTTTATTTATCATTTTTTTTTATATAAATATAGATTGTAGACAAAATTTATTTATAATTTTTTATTTTAGCCTATAAAATATTTAAATTATTAATTATTATTGTTATATAAACTATTAATATATAAAGAAGAAGTATTTTTTTTTAATTATTTTAACTTTAGTCATTTTTAAAATCATTATCAGATACTATATTTGTAATTATTTATTTTAATTTAAAAAAGTGAAAGCTATAATAATTGGCAACTAATTTTTTAATTTATTTATATATTAAATATATGAATCATATTTTAAAATCTATAAGTTTTTTTTAAATATATCAATGTAAAAATCATAAATTTTATATAAATACTAATAAATATTTTTCTCGTTAATTATTTTATTTTATATTTAATTTATATTTATATTAAAAATTTGTATATTTAGTTTTAGATATATAACAAAAATAAAAACAAAAGAAACAATTTAGATTTTTTTATTATATAAAAAAGTATATAAATTAATGATTTATAATAAATAAATTTAATATACAAATATATATTTAAATCTTTATATAGATATTTATTTTGTTTTTTAAAATTAAAAAAAAAATATATAATTCATTAATATAAATTATAATAACATTTTAATATATACTTATATATAATAAATCTTTTGGTTATTTATTTATTGATGTTTTTTTTAATTTTAATAATTTAATTTTTAATTTTAATAAATAACTTTTGATATAAAATAATTTTTAATAGAAAAAATAAGCATTTACTGAAATTAAAATCTATATATAAAGTTCTTATAAAGTAATATTAATAAAATTAAAGAATTTTCTCTCATTATAATATATATTATATATATTTAAAAAATTAATAACTTTTATAATTTTTTATTAATAAAGGAAAATTAAATAAATAAAGAAAAAATATATATTTATATATAGTAAAATTATATTATAATATTTTTTATAATTTTTTTATTAAATAAAACTAATAAATTCAAACAATTATCATAAAAATTATTATAAAAAAGATATAAAATTTATAACTTATATTAAAAAGTAAAAATTATATTTAACTTTAAATTATATTATTTATTAGTTTAAAATATGTTTTTGAAAAAAATTAATATTAATTAAAAATATATAATTCGATAGATTTTTAATAATAATTAAATATTAAATAATTATTTTGACAAAATAGGATATTTTATTGAATTAAATATAAATAATGCATATAGAAACAAAAATTATATATTATTAATAATGTTAAAATAAAATATTTAAAACCAAAATTTATAATAGATATTTTATTCTATTTTTTACATTCTAAAATAAAATAAAAATAGCTTTATGTATATAGGAGTATAAAAAATTTAATAATTTTTTAAAATTAGTTTACCAAAATTCAAATTATTAATAATTCAATAAATATAATTTATAAAATCTATGGATTTAAAAAAATTATTATGAGAATAATATATTGTATATTTATCTCATTTATAATAAATAAAAAATTACGTGAATTATTATTATAAAATATTAAAAAAATCATGAAAATTTTATTTGATAATATAAAAATTATTACGTATATAATTTAAAAAAATTAAAAGAAAACAATAGACAATATTTATATTATAATACAAAAAAAAAATTATAAAAAAAATATAATTAAAAAATTAATATAAAAAATGATCTAAAAATATAAATAAATAATCTTAATAATTGTATTAATACTTGTAAGTGTATAATCGATAAAATAAAAAGTCAACGAATAAAATCTAGAAGAAATAAATTTAGATAATTTAAAATGCTAATTTGGAGCTAAAAAAAATGACCATTATTTAGAAGGATGCGTTGTTGGAGACGATTGTAAAAATTACGTTACTTTATAAGAAGCTGCTTAAATGTGTTGTAAAACTGCCGGATGTGGTGGTGTTACCTGGAGTTCATGGAGCTTTGAAAAAGGAACTGATATGATTAACTTTGGTTATTAAATGAGAGCAAAATCAAATCTAATTGCTAATGCAACTAGTAAAGAAATTTCATGGTCACTTAATTCTATATAAAATGATGTAAAAGAAGAAAATATTGATGAAACTTAAAAATAAAATGTTGAAAAAGAAGTAAAGGAAGAAAATATTGATGAAATTAATTTAGATAATTTAAAATGCTAATTTGGAGCTTAAAAAAATGACCATTACATAGAAGGATGTGTTGCTGGAGACGATTGTAAAAATTACGCTACTTTATAAGAAGCAGCTTAAATGTGTTGTAAAACTGCCGGATGTGGTGGTGTTACCTGGAGTTCATGGAGCTTTAAAAAAGGAACTGATATGGTTAACTTTGGCTATTAAATGAGAGCAAAAGCAAATCCAATTGCTAATGCAACTAATAAAGAAATTTCATGGCCATTTACTTCAAGATAAAATGTTGTAAAAGAAGAAAATATTGATGAAATTAATTTAGATAATTTAAAATGCTAATTTGGAGCTTAAAAAAATGACCATTACATAGAAGGATGTGTTGCTGGAGACGATTGTAAAAATTACGCTACTTTATAAGAAGCTGCTTAAATGTGTTGTAAAACTGCCGGATGTGGTGGTATTACCTGGAGTTCATGGAGCTTTAAAAAAGGAACTGATATGGTTAACTTTGGCTATTAAATGAGAGCAAAAGCAAATCCAATTGCTAATGCAACTAATAAAGAAATTTCATGGCCATTTACTTCAAGTTAAAATGTTGGAAAAGAAGAAAATATTGATGAAACTTCAATATAAAATGTTGTAAAAGAAGAAAATTTAGATGAAACTTCAAAATAAAATGTTGAAAAAGAAGTAAAAGAAGTAAAAGAAGTAAAAGAAGTAAAAGAAGTAAAAGAAGTAAAAGAAGAAAACATTGATGAATTTTATTTAGATAATTTAAAATGCTAATTTGGAGCTTAAAAAAATGACCATTACATAGAAGGATGCGTTGCTGGAGACGATTGCAAAAATTACGCTACTTTATAAGAAGCTGCTTAAATGTGTTGTAAAACTGCCGGATGTGGTGGTGTTACCTATAGTTCATGGAGCTTTGAAAAAGGAACTGATATGGTTAACTTTGGATATTAAATGAGAGCAAAATCAAATCTAATTTCTAATGCAACTAGTAAAGAAATTTCATGGCCATTTATTTCAAGATAAAATACTGTAAAAGAAGATAACATTGATGAAATAAATTTAGATAATTTATAATGCTAATTTGGGGCTAAAAAAAGTAACCATTATTTAGAAGGATGCGTTGCTGGAGACAATTGTTAAAAATACGCTACTTTATAAGAAGCTGCTTAAATGTGTTGTAAAACTGCTGGATGTGGTGGTGTTACCTGGAGTTCATGGAATTATGAAAGTAGTAAAGAAATAGATAGCTTTGGTTATTAATTGAGAGCTTAATCTATTCCTATTGCTAATGAAAATAATAATGAAATTTCATGGCCACTTATTAATAAAGATTAAGTTTCTGAAAGTGAATGTCCTATTTTGTATTCAGAATGTGGTTTTAAAGGAGCTTCATATAAATTTTGTGAAAATGTTCCTTCTACTGATAATATTACGATTAAGAGTATAAAGATACCTACCGGTCATAAAATTACTTTCTTTTCTAACTAAAATTTTTAAGGATAATAAATAGCCTTTACATAATCTATTGAATGTGATAATAATGGTATCTATATTTTTAATTAACAATAAGTTTCTTATTTAATTTTAAAATCTTCTGATAAAAAATATAACATGAATTTTTATTATACAGGATGAATATATTTTTTTCATTGAATTTTATTTAATATATATTTAGTAAAATTATTTAAATTTTTATTTAATTTTTTTATAATTATTTTTTATAATAATAATTTAATTTTTTATTATATAAATTATCAATAGCTCTAATTAATTAATTATTTTTCATTAGGTATTTATAAGAAATTTCTTTTTTCATTTATATAAAATAATTTTTTTATTTATAATTTTTTGAAGTTTTAAATAATAAAAATCTTTTTCTAATTATATATAAATTAAATAATTTTATATATATTTAATTAATTTTATATTTTTAGTAAATAAATAATAATTTCTCTATAAATTATTTTTTTAAATATTTTATCATATTATTCCTATTATAAGTAATTTATAATATTTAATTATATATTTTTTGTTTACATATAAATTTTATAATTTTATTATATAGTTTTTTATAATATAACATAAATAATTATATGTTAAATAGTCTCATTATGTAAATTATTATCTTAAAATATTAATGTTTAATCTATTTTATAGATATTAATTTGATGAATTAATTGATTAATTTTAAAGTTAATATATATTTTTAAAGTAAATTAATCTTAATAAATTTAATTAGTTTTTTATTTTATATTAAAATAAAAAAAAAATATAATTTAGATATTATATAAAAATTTAATTACTTGGTATAATGTTTTAGCATATTTAAATATATAAAAAATGAGCATTAAAAATATATATTTTATCATAAATAATATATATATATATATATATATATATATAATATATATTATGTATTCTATTTTTCGTCTTTTAAATAATTAATTATTTATATTTAATTATTTATTCAAATTTTTCATTTATTTTAAATTAATATTATGATTATTATTATATTATTATTCTTCTTTTTTTTATTTTCATATTTTATTATTCTTTTATTAATTTTAATTCTCTTTTTTTTACTTATTTTTTATAATTTATAAATTAACATTATTTTAATTCTTTAATTATGTTTATTATATTATAAGATTTTTTTTTTATAAAAAATATTAAATATATATATTTATATATAAATAGCATTTAAAAATTTATTTATTTTTATCATACTATTTATCTCATCATATTTCTTTTGATTTAATATTAAACAAAATTTCTTATGTATTAATGACTTAAATATAAAATATTTTATCTACTTTTATATTTTTTTTTTCTTCTAACCTTTACTACTATTATTTCATTTAATCCGTCTATATTATACCTAATTCTATAATTTACTTAACTAAATTTTCAATGAAATATATTTCTGAATCAACTACCTATAATTTTTTTAATTAAGCGATATTACATATTACAAGCTGAGGAAGTAAATTATGGAGTCTTATATTAATTTTAATGAAATCTTAATTATGTCATTATCTTAAATAAATTAAAATTTATTATGTGAAAGAAATGTTATCAAAGATAATTTAATTATTAATATATTAAAAATAAATATTTTAAAATAATTTTATGTTATATGATATTAATATTATTTTATTTTTAAATACCAATATAATTTTACTTATTATTATAATATTTTCATTTTAATATTATGAATTTATTTACAGATTTATCTTTTAAATTATATATAAATATACACAAATATATTATAATTATTTTTTTTATTAATAAAAATTAATTGATTTAATATTTAAAATATAATATATTTTATATATTAAATTTAAAAGAAAATAAAGTACGAAAACTGAAATTATCTCCAAATAAAATTAAAAGAAAATTATTATTGACGAGAAATATTTGATTAACTTATGTACAGATTCATTTGTAATAAGTAGGAAAATAATAAAATTGATTAAAAAAATAAATATATTAAATATTAATATTAAAAAAAAAAAAATTAATGTTAATAAACTATGAAAACTAAAAAGTATTAGATTTTAAAATTTTTTAGCTAATAAAAAAAAAAATTAAAATAAAAAAAAAACTATATTAAAAAAGAAAAAAAGATAGAAAATAGTATTAAAAAATATTAAAGTTAGAAAAATATAAAGAATTTTTGTAAATTAAAAAATAAATTATAATAAATAAATTTAAATGCAAAAAAAAAAAAAAAAAAAATAACTTATTAAAATAAAATAAAAGACAAAAATTGAGCAAAAATATTATATTAAAAAAAAAAATTGTAAATAAATATATAATGAAAATATAAAAAAAATATTTAAAAATTATAAATAATAAAAAAAAAATTATAAATATTAAATTAAATTAAATTAAATTAAATTAAATTAAATTAAATTAAATTAAATTAAATTAAATTATAATAATAATAAAATATTTTAATAATTCTTCTATGTTATTTACTTTCTTAAATTTTTTATTTTTATATAATATTATATATATATTTTCTACATTTTTTTTTAATTTTTATATATTTTTTATTTTTTATATATATATAATATTTTAATTTTATTTGGAATTAATGCATTTATTTTATTATTAATGTTCTTAATTTTTTTTATTTAATAATTTGATTTTTTTATTTATTATAAATACAATAAATTAATCAAATTTTATAAATGTTTAATATTCGTTCCTTATTTGGTCAAAAAGAAATAATTTATTTATTTAAGTTTTGAAAATCTTTAATTTTATAATTTAGTTTTTCAATTCTAAATTATTTTTTTAATACAATATTTATTTCTAAAATTCATAAATATTCTTATATTAAATTTGATAAAACAATTTTATATTATTAGTTTACATACTGAATTTTATTTTATGCGAATTTTATAATTTAATTTTATAATCTTCTTATTGTTTCTAATGTTAGTTTTTTTCTTTTTTTATACTTTAATAAATTAAAATAAATTAATATAAAAAGAGATATTTAACTTATAATCAAAACTTAAAAACTAACAATTTAAGTATGTATTATAAAATAAATATTTGGTTTATAATAGAATATGATTATAAATTTTTGTTAAGGAAAATTTAAATACTTTTTTGTTTATTTATAGAAATAATGATATAAAAATTTTAAATAATTATATTTACAAAATAATATAAAATACTAAATATAATAAAAATAAATTATATATAAAAATAAGTATTTAATAATTAAAAAATATGAGAATAATAAAAATAAACATACTTTAAAAATTAATTATTTTTTTTTTTAAAAAAAAAAAAATCGTTTTAATGCGTCAGCTTTTTATATTCTGTGAAAAAAATTTTTTTAATTAACTAATAAATTAAAATAAAATTATAATATATTTTCTTAATAATTATTTAAAGATATTAAAATAAGAATTATTTCTTATTAGTAAATATAATAATTTTATTCATCAACAAAAAATTAATATTTTTATAATAATTCTTTTTTTTTTTGATTAAAAAGAGTTAATTGCATATAATTATCAAAAATTAATTTTAAATGTAATATTAAGAATTGATAAAAAAATTAAATTTATATATCTAATAAAAAAATGGAAATAGTTTAAAACGATAAACAAGAAAAATTCCAGGCAAAAAAACGTCCAGAAGAACCTCGTCCTCCCCAAAAGATATACGGCCCACCAAATCCATAAGAACGTTAATAAAAGATTCTGGAATATTTATAAAATAAAAAACCAGAAGATAAATAGGTTTTATGTAGATTCTGGTTAAGAGGTTTATGTTTATTTACGTTAAATGATTGTAAATATGCACATGGAATAGATAACCTAATTTTTACAAAGAGCTTAAAAAATATGGATTTAGATTACTCAAATAAAGATTTCAATTAGAAGCCTTTATGGATAGAAAGAAGACCAAGTTATGTAAATATATACGATCACTAATTTTAAATGGTAGAGAAGTTAGATAAAATATATTCTTTGGAATATATAGAAAGAACAAAATTAATAAAGTAGAAAATAAGAAATGATATGCATAATTAAGCACTTAAAAAATTTTATTTTTTACTTTTAAAAGAATACCCGGATACCTATTTTACTGATAGTTTTATCGAAAGAGAATATAATAGAGTAGGTTTTAATAAAATCGGGTTTAAATTATAATTTTCTTATGTGGTTAATGTTTTGAAAGATATTGCTTATGAAGCAAAAGTAAAAATATTTTTTTATTTTTTTATTTTTTTAAACAAAATATAAAAAGGTTTTATTACCTCCTTTAATAAAAGGCCAAGTAACTATATTAATAAAATATCCTGAAAATATACAATAAATATTTTTTGAAAGAATTTTAACTTTATGTAAAAAACATGTAATAGATGAAGGTTTTCCAATATTAGAAAGCTCAATAAGAAAATAATATTATTCATAAAACACAAATTTTTAGCCTGGATTACATTAAATTATGTAATTATTAAATACTAATTTTAAGGATTATTTAGAAAATAATAAATAATTAATATTTGAGAAAATTTGTGAAAAAAATAGTGTTTTTGCAAATGTTGAAAAGGTATTTGGGTATGATAATGAATTAGAATGTGTAAAAGAAGAAGTCCTTAAAATTCTAAACTATTAAAAGAAAAAATCGATAATAAATTTAACATTTTTCGAAGAAAAAATCATTAAATAATTTGAAAATAATGTCAAAGCTTTTGGAAATTAATAAAAATTTAAATTTTATTTAAGATCGTTCCTTTTAACATAAAAAATATATACTACAAGATGTTAAACAGGAGACTTTGCTTTAAGATTTGATATAAAATAAAAAAAGAATATCAAAATACATACCTGTAAATGTTCTATAATTAATAATAAAAGTATTTTAGATGAAAAAATAAATGAAGATATTTTAAAATAATACGAAAATGAACGAATAGTGATTATAGATGACGAAAAAACACTGAAATATGCGAATTTTGTGATAAATAAACATACTGAAATAGGAGTAGATTTAGAAGGAAGACTAAGAAAGGAAGGATTTATTTAACTAATATAAATATCTATTTTTAAAAAGAATGAATTAAAATCTTAAATTTTCATTTTTGATATATATTTTATAAATAATTTATAAAGTGATATAAATTTGTAAATTGAAACTAAAATTTGTATTTAAAATATTATGTAAAATGTTAAAATTGTTAAAATATTTCATGATTGTAGGAAGGATTCTTTGGCTTTACATAGATTTTTTTAGGCTTGTCCTAAAAACGTCTTTGATACTGCAGCTTGTTAAGCTTTTAAATACTAAATGGAAAAATATTTAGGAATTCAAAGGGATGACTTTTCAATTCTTAAAAGTATAGATGAGTTAAAATAACCAGGTTTGAATGACGTTTTGTAAAACAATAATGCTAGAAATGGAATTAATATTTTAAAAAATGAAATGCATAAAATCTTTGAAAATACTAACTAATCTGCATTTTTAGAAAGACCAATTTGTCCTTAATATTTAGAATATGCGGCTAGAGATGTTGAGGATTTAGTTGAAGTGTATTTTAATTTGAGTAAAAGTATAATTGAAGTTTGCAAAAAATGCTTTATTTAATGTAATGAATAGAATGTAATTTAAATTATGTAAAAAATTTCAAAAAGTTATGTTTAATATGGATATATTTAATCTTTATGAGTTTACTTTTACTAAATATTTATTTTGTTTGTAAATATTTATAATAATGTAAAGTAGTATATTAAATATTGTGAAAGTCATATTTTTTATAAATAATAATGAATTTTATTAAATATATATAGGTATATAATATTTTTTTTTTATTATAATTAATATAAAATTATTTGTTTTAATTCTATTATTAATAATTATAAACATAAATAGAGAATAGTTAAATCTTTTGAAAAAAGTATATAATATATAGATAAATATTCTAAATTTTTATTTATATTAATTTGGTTTATAATATTATGATATGTTTTATTCATTATTAAAAGATATATTTTTGTGTTTTACAAAAAATAAATAAAAATATATTAAAATATTATAATTATTTAGTTTAAAAAAACATTATTTTAATTTTTGTTAATAAAAATATAACTAATAATCCTTATTTATTATTAATATTTTTTTATTCTTTTTTTAGTATAAAACATTTGGTTTTAAATAAATATATAAAATATAATTATAATGAATTATATAAAATATTTAAATAATATTTAAATATTTTTTTCTATATAATTAAAAATAATATTTTATATATAATTTTGATTTTTAAACTGTTTATATAACTCTAGAAATATTAAAGTAAATGTAAAAAATAATTTAAATCTAAAAATATAAAAAAACTATATATTTTTATTTATAATATAAATTTTTAATTTATTTTAATTTAAAATCTAGATTTTATATAATCTTTATTATATACATCATAATATTTATTATAACAAAAAAAATATTAAATATTTATTTTAGTTATTATAAATAATTTAGATAAACTTATATTTCTTTTTATATAAAATTATATTATCTATTTATATATAAAAAAAAGAATAAATAAATATATATTATGTATTTCAATAATCAGGTTATAAAATATTTGTAACATTTTTAATAAATCTTTCTGGAGAAAGTGATTCTTTACATTCTGAATCTGTTAAAATAGCAAGCCCAATAACTCCTAACTTTTTTTTTTTTTTTTTTTTTTTAAAAAAAAAAATACAAATAAAAAATTAGATTATTATTTTTATTTATTATATATATTAATTTTTAGTTACTTTAATAATGAAATTTATAATACTCAAAACTAAAACAAATGATTAAACACCTTTTGCCCAATTTTTTTCGAAAGCAGCACTATCCCAAAAAGTTCCCCAGTATATAAGCCATACAAAATCAAAAATCCAAGTAAATATAAATAAATAAAGCATTTTTGTTTTTTAAGAGTTCTTTTTTAAATAATATTTTGTTATTTTATATTTGTTTTATTATATTATTACTGGCTTTGTTTAATCCCATAAAAGATAAGCAAATGCAAAAAGAGGTAAATTGTAATCTGCGCGCGCATAACATGTAAAACAAGATATAACTGCTATTACTAAAAATGATTTTTTTAAATAAGGCTTATATTGATCCATTTTTTTATTTATTTAAATATTTTATTATTTACTTTTTTATTATTTAATTAATATATTTTTTTAAAAAAAAATAAAACTACAATAAACAATGTTTATTTTTATATATGTAAATTTATTTTTATTAAAAAAATAGAGAACATATATTATTTTAAAATAAATTAAAATAATTCATTAATATTTTTATTTTTTTGTTAAGTTTTTACTTTAATAATGCTTTTTTCATAAAAATATTATATAATATATATATAATACGTTTATAAATACTTATTAAAACTCGAAAAATTAATCATTTTTAAATATAAAATAAATATGTAAATATTATCTTTTATATTATCAATCTAAACATATATTATTAGATATAATAGAAAAATAATTTTTTAAACATATATGTATATTTTAAAGTTCTTATTTAATTATAATATCAGAAACTAAACTATGTTTTATTGTTTATCAAAACGAAATAAAATATTTGATAAAAGATCTATTTTTTTTATATTAATAAATAATACAAAAAACTAAAAATAATTAATTAAAAAAGTAAAAAGGGTCAAATTTAAAAAAATAAAATAATAAAACTAAAATAAAAAATGTCATATACAATAACTGAAGTAAATGGTGTAAAAACCTACAACTTATCAGCAGGAAAAACCCTCCCACAATTTCTCTAAGAAGCAAAAAAAAAAAATTCATCATTAAAATACAACCAAGATTTTAGAAAAAGAATAGAATTAATTTAAGATTTTGAATTTCCAATATCATGTAATTAAGTAGAAATAACTCCAGACGAAAAGTATATAGTAACAACTGGAACATATGCACCAACAATAAAAATATTCGAAACAGCCGAACTTTCAATGAAATGCTTAAGAGGAGTTGACTCAGAAATAGTAAAGTTTGCAATCTTAGATTAAGATTATTCAAAATTAGCCTTTGCTTAAAGTGATAGAAATATAGAATTTCATGCTTAATATGGAAAACATTATAAAACAAGAATTCCTAAATTTCCAAGAGATATAACATATAATCCATATACATGTGATTTATTAATTTCAGCATCATCAAAAGAAATATATAGGTAAATATATATATACATATATATATGAATAAAGATTAAAAAAAAAAGAATTTCATTAGAAGAAGGATAGTTTCTGAAAAGTTTCGAAAGCGCCTGTAGTGATATAAACACTCTTTCATTCAATAAACAACTTAATATACTTGCATCTGGTGGAAATGACGGTATAATCGAAATATGGGACTACCGTTAAAGAGAAAAAGCTTCAAATAAAATATTCAATAATGGATAAGATATTACTTATTGTACATTTGATTCTTCTGGTATGGTTTTTGCAGCAGGAAGTGATAAAGGACTTGTAAGGTTATATGATATTCGTTAAGAAAGCCCTATATTGGAAATAAAGCATCATTATAAATTACCTATAAATACTATAGCATTTCATGAAAAAAGTCGTAACATAATCAGTAGTAATGAGAGAGTTATTAAGATAAATAATTAAGATAATGGAAAGGTATTTACTTCTATAGAACCTAATTCGGGAATCAATAGGTTCTGTTTGTGTCCCAATAGTGGGTTGCTACTTGTGGCCTAGGAAGAATCTAGATTAGGTACTTATTTTATTCCTTAGATGGATAATGCGCCTAGATGGTGTAATTTTCTGGAAAATATTACAGAAGAATTAGAAGAAAGTTAAAGTAATTTAGTCTATGATGAGTTTAAATTCCTTACTTATGATGAGTTGGAGAAATTATAGGCGACTAATTTATTAGGGAGTGCAATGTTAAAAGTACATTTGCATGGGTACTTGATGCATATGAAACTTTATAATAAACTTTTACAGAAAGCTGATTTGTTTAGCTTTTAGGATTATTAGAAAAATCTAGTGAAGAAAAAAATTAGTGAATAGCAGTAAAGTAGGGTCTCGATGAAAAATAAAGTCTAGAAAAATAATAACTAAGACCTGTTTTAGGATAAGGATAAGGTAAATAATCCATTAATGGATAATAGGTTTAAAGGAATGTTCATTAATGAGGATTTTGCTATTGATAAAAATAATGAAGAGTATTTAAGATTACATCCTAGTGAAGGAAATAGAGGATAAAAATCAGATAATTTTTTTGTAGATGAAGAGGGGAATTTAGGTTAGGATGATACTTTGTAAATAAAAATGGATTAGAGAAGGAAAAAATTAGATTTGTAATAAAAAAAAATGGAGAAAATTTAAAAAAGTAAAGCTATTTAAAAAGAAAAAGCTAAGAAATATACATTCGAAGATAAAATTAAAAAATAAAAAAAAAATTTCAAAAATAAATAAAAATGAGAAATCAAGTTTATTTATATATGTATTTTATTAATAAATGATTTTTATTATTTTACTCAAATATAAAAATAATTAATCATATATTAATTTAATTTTTCCAATTATTTTATTAATATGGACTATTCTCTTTTATAAAATAATTAAACTCTTCCATATTATTTTTTGAAAAAAAATAGAAAAAATATTTTTATAAGATTTTTGATGATAAATTTAGCTATTATAAGGAGAATTTAAATAAAATGGAGATTAAAGAGTTCTCTATGAAAAGTTTATAGTTTTTTTACTATTTTAAATATATAAAAAAAATTCATTTTTTTTTTTTTTTTTTATAAATCAAATATTAATGAAAATTTTTATTTTAAATTATTTATTTTTGGAAAGTTAAAGAATGGGTTTTTTCCATTTTTTTAAATAATTCCTTAATAATAATTTTTTTTTTTAAAAAAAAAATAAATCTTAAATTTATTAGTTTATCTAGTCTTTATATATTAGTTTGATTCCATCACTAATGCACATTTGGGAAAATTAACATTTTTATTTTTCTATTAATTCGCATTTTTTATTAAAAATTTTTTTTAGAACGTTTATATAAGTTTTACAAAAGAAGAGTTATTCGAAAATATATATTTTTAGAAGTTTTAAATAAGTGTTTAAACGAAAGAAATTTTATTATTTGTGTTTTAATTAAAAAAAATTGGAAAATATGATAAATGTTTTTTTTACATTTCTTTCTAGAAAAAAGAAAAAATAAGATTATTTTAGGATTAAAACGTAAAATTGTTATCAAAAAATATATTTTGTTTTATAAAAAAGATCATTTTTTTATCTAAATTTTTAATTTAAATTAAGAATCATTAGTACTTTTCTTTATAATTGTTTTAAATTTTTCTATAGATTTTAGGGAAAAAATTAAAATCCATAATATAAAGATTCGCTAATAAATCGTTTTTTAATATATTAGTTAATTAAATATTCAAATTTTTTTATTTTATTTTTTGTAATAAAGTGTTATTAATTTATTTTTCATAAAATAAATTTTTGTTAGGCTTAAAATACTTTATTTAGTTAAGAATCTATTTATTTTACTTTTTACTTACGAATTAAAATAAATTAAAGTACATATTTGAATATTTGCTATTTATATATTTATAATTCTATTTAATTATTTAAATGATAATATTCTGATATTTTATTTATACTTACTCAAGCTTTTTTAGCCGAGGAAATAGTTTTAAAATGCCTATATTACCTATAATTTTCTTTGGTGTACGTTTTTATTGTTATATTGTATTTTTTAAAAATTATTAATGTTATCTAATTAAGTAAATAACGTAAGTTAAATGTAGTATTTTTATTTTTTTTGGTTTATTATTAGATATTTAATTTATGATTCTATTTTTTTTGTTACTAAAAAATGAATGTTTTTAGTTAAAAATTAGTATTTTATTTATTATTAAATATTTTAAAATATATAAAAAGTATTATTGTTAGTTTTTGTTTATAAATACTACACTACATTATTATAATATTACATTATGAATTATAATAATATATATTATAAAAAATATTTAAGTTACAATTATTATCATAAATTTTAAATCAAAAATTAAATAATTGAGGTATTAATATATATGAAGTTACAATATGGTTTTATTTTATGTTTCTTTCAAATTTAAATATTGAAAAAATTTTTAAGTTTTATAATTGATTTTTTAATTTAAAGTTAAAAAATTTTAAGATAAATTAATTATTTAAACATAAATAAATCAAAACTATAATTAAATTAAATATATTTTTGTTCAATCTGAAAAATCATCATTATAATTTTAAGTATTCTATTAAACTTATAAAAAATCGACTTATTTTTCTAAAAAATTAATACTATTAGAACTTTCCTTTTATAAATCTTTTCTATCATCTTCATATATATTAAGCTTTTTATAAATTTATTTTTATTTTTCTTAGCAGAATAAAAAATAGCTATATTATTTTGATATTCTAGTAGAGTCAACATAATTTTATTGAAAATATTCAACTCCTCTTTAATTTAAATGTAATAAAGTACTAACATAGGATGAAAATTGTGAAATTTTATTGATTTTTTGACTTTTATTATTATTTTTAACAACAGTTTTTAAGATTCCTGGTTAAATACTTTTTACAAATAATTCTAATTCTTCAAAATTACTATGGAGACTATAAGAAACAAACTAAAAGAAATAAAATTAATTTTTAACTAAAAAAATAAAAATAAAAAATACATAATTTCTATTATCTTAAGTAACATAATCTTAATTATTAAACCAACCTGTACAAGTAATACTAATATAATAAAAATCATTTAATTTCATTCTTTCGTCTTTTTCATGTTTTCGAATTGCTTCAATCCACCCATCATTATAATTTGTAGTGAAAAGTTCAGGTCTTATATTCGAGTTTTTCATTTAATCGTATTTTAGAGTGTTAACAACTATTTAGGTTTAATATTTTTAAGCTAAACAAATTAATATTTCTTCTTTTCCTAATGAATCTATGCATATTAAAATTCGTAGATTTTTTTGATTTTTCCTATGTAATTCTATTATTTCGACTATTTATTTAAATGCTAAGTCTCTTTTAGGGAATTTGAAAACTGGGTCACAAAATGTATTGTCAAATATACACTCGTCTATTTCTAGTGAACATTTTTCTAAAGATTTATTCCTTTTTTCTAAAGGAAATAATATTGGATTTTTATATATACATTGTTCATTAAATCGCATATCTCCAGTATGCAAAATTCTTCCGAAATAACCTTCGAACATAAATATTGTAGAGCCTAGATTTTCATTTATTTGAATATTTTTTTTATTTTTACCTGGGCAATGATTTGCATCAAATAAATAAACGTATATATATATGTCATTTTAAATATTTAAATATACTTTTGTTTTTTTATTATATTCTAAAAAAATCTTTTGTTTTTTTTTGTTTTATTTTTTATATCTGGATTTTTTTAAATACCACATTTTTTAAATTCGGGAATCTTGTTAACATTATCTTTCCTGTTACTTCAGAACAATAAATTGGGCCATAATCCCATTTAGGCGTCAATCCTTAATAATGATCTATTTTTTAATTTGTTTGCTTTTTGTATAAAAGTATATTATTAATTATATTTTTATTTTTTTAAAAAAATTTAATTAATTTGAATTTATTAGAAAAATATTTTTTACCTGAATGCATATGGGTAAGAAAATATAAATATTGATTTCTTTTTTCTTTCTTTTTTCCATATGAAAACTCGTCAACAACTATATTTGTAAAACTAATAAGGACCATTAAAATATTTTTTAAATTTTTTAAAAATATTTAATTATAAAAAGATATATTAATTTAATTAAGAGCTTTATTTAACTTTAAGTTTATATAAATAAGAATATTCTATTTTATTTTATTTTTTAAAAAAATAACTCAAAAAGATGCATAAGAAATTTTTAAATTTAAAAATATATTGTTTATTTTGATAAAATGGATATTGATATGATATTTATTGAGTTCTATTTAAATTTAAAATAATATTTAATATATATTTAAAGTGTATATAAGAGTTTTTTTAAATATTTATTTTAAATTAAAAAAAATTCATTTTTCCTAAACAAATTAATATAATTATATAAATCATATAAATGATATGTTTAGTTTATTTATTTTTAATTTAATTTATGTATTAATTATAAAATATTTAGTTTTAAATATTATAATCTGTTTTAAAAGTAATATTTAATAATAAATTATTTAAATGTTATTTTTTTATATTTAATAAATAGTATCATAATTTATTTATGAAAGATCTATGAAATAAATACAATCTTCTATGACTTTTTATAATACTAAAAATATTTTATTAATTAAAAGTATATAAAAATAAATAATTCAAAACTAATTATTTTTATAATTAATAATAAAAAAAAAAAATATAAAATTAAATAAAAGATATCAAAAAAATAAATATATATAATAAATAAAAAAATGCCTCCTAAAAAAGAAGAAGTCCACGAAAAAAAAATCAAATTAGGTCGTCCAGGCAACACATTAAAAATGGGTATTGTTGGCTTACCTAACGTCGGTAAATCAACAACATTTAACTTGTTATCAAAGTTGAACATTCCAGCTGAAAATTATCCTTTTTGCACAATAGATCCAAATTTAGCCAAAGTATATGTAGATGACTAACGTTTCCATAAATTATGCGAAATGTAACAAAAATATTTGCATATATAAATTATCATTTTTAAAAAATAGGCATTAACCTAAATCTAAAATTCCTGCAACTTTAAGTATAATGGATATTGCAGGATTAGTACCTGGAGCTTCTAAAGGAGAAGGCTTAGGAAATGCATTTTTGAGTCATATTAGAGAAACTGATGGTATTTTTCATGTAGTAAGAGCTTTCGATGATCCGGAAATTGCACATACAGAAAACGAGGTAGATCCTGTGCGTGATCTATAGATTATTAGTGATGAATTAATTTATAAAGATTAAGAAATTTTAGAAAAAAGTTGAATGAATTAAATACAAAGATTAATAGATTCAATGATAAAGAATCTAAGGATGAAAAGGAAGTTTTAGATAAAGTCGATATACTTTTAAAATAAAAGAAGTGGGTATTTTCGGCAAATTGGTTACCTTTTGAAGTTGAGATTATTAATAAGTATATGTTTTTAACAGCTAAGACTGTCGTTTATTTAGTAAATTTAAGTGCTGAAGATTTTTAGAAGAAAAAGAATAAATGGCTACCGAAAATTAAAGATTGGGTCACTAATAATTGTCCTGGAGAAATGATACCTTATTCAGCTGATTATGAAAAAAAATTAATTGAAACTAATGATAGTATTATTTATTTTTGTTTTATTATTTTTAAAATAAAAAAGCTAAGAACTCTATGATGAGTAGAATAATTAGAACTGGTTATAAAGCTTTAGATTTAATTTATTTCTTTACTGCAGGACCTGATGAGGTTAGAGCATGGACTATTAGAGAAGATACAAAAGCTCCTTAGGCTGCAGGAGTTATTCATACTGATTTCGAAAAAGGGTTCATTTGTGCAGAAATAATGAAATATGATGATTATGTTGCCGCTGGGTCTGAAAATGCATTAAAATCGGAAGGAAAATATTATTAAAAAGGAAAAGATTATGTAGTTTAAGATGCAGATATTATATTTTTCAAATTCAATGTATCTTAATCTAAAAAGAAATGAGGAAAAAATTATTAAAAAAAATAAAAAATAAATTTTTTTTATATTAAAAAAAATAAAAAACAGTAATAAAAAATAATTTAATAATCAGTATTTTTTTTAAAAAAAAATATTATATATACATATATATATATATATATTTTATCAATCTAATTTTTAATTCTAATTATTTAGCCCCATTATCAATACTATGAATACCATTATCAATACTAATGAATACCATTATCTCCAGGTTTTATGCCTAGAATCGAAAATATATTTGGAATTGTAATTAATTTTATATTAGAAAAAAATTATTATTCAAAATAAAATTATCGCGAATAAATTACTTCTTAAACTAATACATTATATTATATAAAAACTTAAAAAATATGGAACCCACCAAGGCACGAATATGGTGTACCATTAAAAGATTTTTTCTAAGTGAGAAATACTTTATAAGACTGTTAAATAACAAAAGAAAAATTTCAAAAATATATTAAAAATATTATAAGATTATAAGGACCTAATTATAAAACAGTCACAGTCTCTAAATGTATTTATCAAAAATAACTAAATAGTATCTATTATACTAGATTATGTAGTTTTTATTCTATATTTTAGTAATCTTCTATGCCAGCGTTTTCTCATTATTTAGTCGAAATTTTTATCTATGGGGCTTTCTCTGTCTTTATAAGAGTCTACTTTAATTCGAACCAAAGGAAACAACGTTTCAATCCAATAATGTGAATGAAGTCAAAAATGTTTAAAATCAGCCCCGTTTTCGGTAATTTCTTGGATTTAATCAGTTTATATAGTCCATAAATTCACACCACCATATCTTCTTTATTGTTTTCGGGTTTCTTGTAACGTCTAAAATCTCATATTATGGAGGCAATTAATTTGGATTGAACCAGAAGATGTAAGAGATTGTTTTATTCACAAGCGTGTTTTTTTTGTACTTGACGTTTTATTTTTAGAAACATTATTATATTATTATATAGGTTCCATCAGAATTCTTACACGTTTGATTTAAGTTGTTTTAAGTGTAAAAGATAGTCACTTTATTGTCCAAATATTCATAATTGATTACTATAACGGTTTTTCAGTAAAAATTTCAACTATGAATAGGATATTATATACACGAATTCAATTTTAATTTATAACTAATACCTAAATTAGCTCCCGTAAAGAAACAAAAAGCATCTAGAGCAAACATTTATGAATCTTCTGCATTAAATAAAGGTATGTGATATCCATTTATTTTAAAATATTTTGTATATCCGATTTCTAGTTCTTGTTTATGGAATATTTAAAACAACTTTTTGGATAATAAAGGGATTTTTAAATCTTTAAATTTATCTTCGAATAAAAAAAAAGTTCTAGTGTCTATAGGAAAATATTATGAAATTTAATATAAAGGTTAAAGAGAAAAAGGGAGTAAATAAATATATTATTTAAAATATATATATATAATCTTAAAATCTTTATAAATGGATAAATATCAATATTTTTATGATATATAGGATTTAATTATATAGATTTTTTTATTTAATATTAATATTAAAATATAAATATAATAAATATAAACAAAATTAATTTATAAAAATTTCTAAAATAATGTATCTAGTTAATATTAAAAAATAAATTTTTAAATAAATAAAAAAAAATAATATTTATTTATTAATTATAAATAAAATAAAAAATATATAAAAGAAATATTCATTATATCAATATTTATAAATAAAAAAATTAATATATTTTATTTAAATAGATAAATTAATTGATAAATTAATATAATTTTTTTATATTATTATATACATTATCTTTTTTTAATAATTTTTTCTATTCAACTATTAATTTTATAAAGCCATTTAGTTTAATTATAAAATTTAATAATAAATTTTTAATATAATAATAATATTTTTTTATATATATAAAACCTAAAAATTAATTTTCTATTAAATGTTTTTAAATTAACTAAATTATTTTATATATATATATTTATTTTATGAATACCATCATTTTTATTTATCTAAATTTATCAATTAAATATATATTTATAAAACAAAATATAATATTTTATTTCTTTAAAATAAGAATAATATTAAAATAATTATATTATTTGCTATTCTCATTTTTTAAATATTATTTAATTTTTATTTAAAATATAAAAAATCATTTATTTAATTTATTATTTTTTCTTTATTTTTTATGAAATCAATTAAATAATAATAAAAAAAAAAAATTTTCTTCTATAATCTGATATGATTTTATATAAAAAACAAATGAAAAAAAATAAAAATATTATTTTATAAAATATAAATTAAAAATTTTTATTGTATATTGAATATAATTTAATTAATAAAGATAACACTAATAGAGTTATAATAATATATTAGTTTTATTGTAAATCATGCAATATAATAAGTATTTAATTTTAGTTTAAAATTTTAAATATTTTATTTTATGTAAATTAATGTTATTTTATTAAAAAAATTCGTTAAATAATAATAACTTTACTATTTTTTATCAATTTTAATAAAGATACAATTTATAAAAAAGAATTAAAGAAAAATTTAAAAAAAAAAAAAAAAAAATTATAACAAATTCTTTTATAAATAAAAATGTAAAAATTAATATATAATTAATTTTTTAACACATTATTAAATTTTGTCTATTTTTAAAATAATTAAAAAAAATATATTTATATGCCTTTAATTTTTTTTAAATATAAAGAAAAATAAATATATATATAAATATATATATAAATATATATTTTTTTTATATATATATAATTATATATATATATATATATTTTATTTGTTTATAACTTAACATATATGTTATAAGAACTAAATAAAGTTGAAAGATTAACAAATAAAGTATGGAGAATATTAGGTTTAAATCCGAGGTTTTTATATATTTTTATAATTTATTAAGATAATAATTTAAAAAATAGTTAATATACATTGTAAGGAACAAATACATATTTAATAGGAGAAGGTAATAATAGATTGTTAATAGATACTGGTTAAAATATGTAAGGATACAAAGAACTTCTTTAAGGAGTATTTTTAAAAATATCAATTCAATATTACTTATTTTAATAATTTTTAATTAATATTATTTATTTTTTATTAATCAAAGGTTTTAAATTAAACAAATAGTTAGATTAATTAAGTTTTAATAACTCATAATCATTTAGACCATGTTAACGGAATAATTGATATCCTTTAATTAAGCAAGAATTGCATTTTTAGAAAATACAATTATAATAAAAATGATTAGATTTTAGAGGAAAAATATAATTTTAAATATGACATTAAAACTCTAGAAGATAATGAAATTATTAAAGGATAAGATTTTACATTAAAAGTAATTAGTATTTTTATATAAAATAAATAAAAAAAGGTTATTACATTGCCTGGCCATTGTCCTGATCATGTAGGATTTTATTTTTAAGAAGAAAAGACTCTTTTTTGTGGAGATTTTATTCTTTCAGGAAGTAGTGGAGTCATTATGAATTTAAGTGATTAAATGAAATCCTACCAAAAAGCTTTAAGTTTGGATATTGAAAATTTGTTTTCTGCTCATGGACCTGCTATATTTGGAAATGATAAAAGTGTAAAATATATTATTGGTAATAGAAGTCATAGACTAAAAAGAGAATAATAAATTATTTAAGCAGCTTAAAGCTTAAAAATGTTTTCTAATTAATAAATTAGACATATTATTTACCCAAATTTATAGGAAAATCTTATTACGGGAGCCTTAAATAATATAGATGTCCATTTATAAAAATTAATAGAAGAATAAGTTGTTATTAAAAAAGAAAATAATATATATGAATATATAGGTTAATGAATAATAATAATATTTTATAATTATAAAAATAAATAATTAATATTAAAATGTTTTGTTTTTTAACTTTATTTTTGAAAACAAAAATTATTAAAAAATAATTGAAAGTTATTTGTCTTTACCTTTTTCTTATAATAAAAACGATTTATTTGAAAAATTATAATATATTTTTGTTAATATGTTCATATTAATTAATTACATATTATTTGATATTAACTATTACTATTACTATTAGATCTTTTCTTTTTATAATTATATTGATTTATGCTTTAAGGGTTAATAAAAATCTTTTTGGTTTCAATAATTTCACACTTATTATTATTATTATTATTTAAACTTGAAGTGGAATTCGATTTCTAGATTTGTTATTTATTTTAATCATAGGTTCTATTATTAATTTTTTATTTAGCAATTTCTATTTCATTTTATAAAGATTAACATTGTTTATTATTATTAATACTTATTTATTAATAGTTTTTCTCAATAGTTTTTTGCTTGTATATTGCTTATTATTCATTATTTAATTATTCAGGTAATTTACATTATGTGTTTTCTTTAGTCTAATCGTCTTCGTTATCATTGAATTTTTTGGATGAAATTTTGGATTTATTTTCTTGTTTTCTTTATTAAGAATTTATTATCATTTAATCTTCTTGATAAATTATTAGTTAATTGCTTTCATTTACATTATTTTAATTCTCATAATTTTTAAATATGCTTTATATTAAATTAGTCTTTTATAAAAAATAGATAAAAAAATGTATATGTATTTTTTACTAATTCTTCTGCAAAATTTTAATTAATTAAAGTATTTTTATTTTAAATTTATTAAATGTATTCATTTAATTTATTTTTACATTAAACTAAATATTTATATTATCCTTAAGCTTAATCTAATGCTTATTTATACTTTTTTTATTTTTCCGCAGATTATTCGTATTAGATTTCTATACTATATTAAATATCTTATTTTATAATAACTTCATAAAAATTTTAAATCCATTCCAATATATTTTCCAATAAAAGTTAAAATTTTAAAAACTATTTATTATTTTTGATTAAATTTAATATCTTCTCTCTGTTTTTCCATATATATTTTATATCATTTAAATTTATAGAACTATAATCCATAAAATTTAAGCTTTATAATATGTTTTATTAGTTTTAAAAAAAATTCTTGATGTTTTAGAATGTCATATGTTTTCCGGATTATATATAAACAAATATTTATAATAAGTTATTAACATCTTCTGTTAATTTAGTTAAATTCCTCGTTTAGTTATTCTATAATTAATAATTTAATATTTTAAGTCTTTCCTAAAGGATATTTAAATCTACTTGTAGAACATCTTTTTTATGTTCAATATTAATTTTTTGTTCATTTTTTTTTTTTACCATATTGTTAAGCAAATAGATCTAGTTATCTTTGTGCTTTTGTTCTATGTATTTTAAATTTTTATATCTTTTCTGCTTCTGCATCTACTTTTTTTATTGTCTATTTATATATTTTTGTATTGGATTATAAAATATTATTTATGTTTATAATACTTTATTATATAATATTTTTAATTAAGGTAAGAATTATTTCATTTATTATGATATTGTGTTTGTTTTTTGACTCATTATTTAGATTTATTATTATTATTATTTTTTTTAATAAAATTTATATATAAAATAATAGTAGTTATTATTTTTTTATTTTTTATTTTTTTTCTGTATTTTCTAATTTTCTCCTTTTCAAAAAAATAATAATAATTAACTTTATATTATTATCCATATTAATTTAATTAAAATACTTAAATTATACATTATAAACTAAGAAAAAAATACTCTCAAAATATATAATTTTATATTTTAAATAAAATCTTTTATTATTAAGCTTTTCTAATTAATCACTTTATATAACAATTAATTCATTTGATTAATAAAAATATATATTTATGTATTAACAAACACCATGAATATTTCATAAAATCTCTTATAAAAAACTAAATTAGGAATATAAAGCTTTTTACATCATCAAATGATTAAAAGTATTTTAAAAAATATTTCTATATATTTTAATCCAAAATAATTTATGAATTAAAATGGATTATATGAATACAATTTTATAATTGAAATCCATAAAATAAGTAATATTGTCTATAATGACTATGTATATAAGTATTTATTTTTAAAAATTCATATTTTTATTATTGATTTCTTAAGAGGATAAAAATAATGCTTTTATAAATATATGAACTGTCAAAGTATTATCAAAATGTAAAATATAATTAATTTTATATATAAATTATGGAAATCTATAAAAACTTAATAATTTAAAATATAAATAATACTCATTTTATTAATTAAATACAATAGGGTATAAAATTGAAAAATTTACTTATATTTAAATATAAAAATTATTTTTACTAATATTATTAATTACTAAAAAATAAGATATTATAGTTACTTAATCTGATTTATAAAAATTATATATAAGTATAAAATAAAAAACATTATATAGTAAAAATTTAAATAAAATGCTTTAATAAATAACTTAAAATTTTCAAAATTTTACAAAATAAATATATTTAAAGAAAAAAATTATATTAATTTTTTTTAAAAAAATTAATCATATATACTATAAAAAAGAAAGAAAGAATAGTGTTATTATAATATTATATATAAAATATTATTGTTTTAAGTCTTAAAAAATATTTATAATAAAATAATATTAATATAAAAATATATTTTTTAATATATATAAATATTTATATATATATATTTTATATAAATGTATTTATACATTTTTTTTAATAATAATATTTTTATATTTTCAGATATTTTTTCTCCTTTTTTTATAAATTATTTTTTCTTATATTATATTTTAATAAAATTAATTTTTATTATATAATTTTATAATAATAAATATTTTATTTATCTAAAATTTTTATTTAATTAAATATTTTATTATTATATTTATAATATGACTATTAAATTTATCTTACATATCTTAAACTTAAAAAATATTGCTGAAAATCAGTATTTTTTAGATTTATGTTTTTTTGATTTTATGTATTATTTTTTTATTTATTTTATATTATTATTTTAACCTAAAGTTTATTATTTTGATTACAAAAATAAGTAAAAGTATTCTTTATAATATATTTTCTTATTTTAGCATATATTTTTTATTTTATTGTTTTAAAATGCCTTGTTTACGTAAAATTAATTTAAATCAGTATTGTAAATAAAAAAAGTGAATAAATTTTAAATTTTCTTAATAATACTTTGTATTTTTAAAAAGTATTAGTTAAAAATTCCATATAAAAAAAAAAAATGGTTTGAAATAATTATAAACAAAAAATGAAAAAAATTTGAAACTCCTTATTTAATTTTGTAAAAAATAAAAATTAAAAAGTTTAGATTAAATTATTAATTAATTTAAGTTTATTCTTTTAAAAATTAATAATTTTTATATTAAAAAAAAGCAAATACTTTAATTTTATTTGAAAAAAAAGGTTTTAATAATTATAATTGCAATTTTTGCATCAAAAAGTATTATTCAAAAATAAAATAATTATTAACTTAAGTCTTAATATTAATAAAGGAAGTATTAGTTAATATTTTTAATTGGAAATATTTTTTTTTAATAATTTTATTAGATATATTAAATGGTTTTGTTTTGTATTTATATTGATTTTTTTTTTTTATAGTTTGTAATAATATAAAAAAAAATTAATAAATAAAATAATAAGAAGAATAATTAATAAGATATAATAAGATTTTAAATTAAATCTATTTTGAATATATATAATTTAATTAAAAGGAAAAATTTAATATAATAATTATTAAAAAAAAAAAAAAAACCAAACCTTATTCTATTAATTTTTATGCTTATTTATTTTTATAATTTATTAAATTTTTACTAAATAATAATATTATAATTTATGTTTTTTTTTTTTTTTTTTAAAAAAAAATATTTAACAAAAATCTATTTTTTGTTATTTTAATGAAATAATATCTAATAATAAATATTAAAAGATTTTTTAATATCGTAAAAAAAATTGAATTGAAAAATATATTTAAATAATAAAAGAAATATGTTTTAAATAATTATTATTTTCTTTTTAAATCTTTTAAATATATCTTTTTAAGGACATATAAGTTCGTGGGATATTTAATTAGATTATAATAATGCTGGGTAAGTTTCTGAAATTACATTACCATTTTCTTTAGAAAACTAAATAAATGAAAATGATTTCATAAAAGTAGTTTTCCCATTTAAGCTTCATTTAAAAGAAAATATAAGCATTTCAAATATTATTTAAGCAAATATTGCTGAAGATCTAATTGCTGTGTATTCCAAAGCATAGTCTGGAGATGTAGGATGTGGAAATGATGAATATTAATTAGCGGTAATTAATTTAAATATAGTAAACGGAAAAAATTAAGAAGAGAAGTCATATTATATATCATTTTATGATAATTTAGGAAATCCATAAGGTTTGGAAGCAGATTAATATTATTATTTGAAATTAATTTTAACAGGAAATAATATATAAACATAATCACCAGGTACCAAAAAACCAATAGAAGTATTATAAAAAAATTATATGTATATATATAAATATGTATATATATATATATATATATATAAATATTTATTTATTTTTTATATATTTATATGTTTTTAGATTTATTCAGTATCACATATTCATATTGATGCTATAATTTATGATCGAAATCCAATTTTCGGAAACATTTATTTACACAGTTATCCATTATCAGAAATGGAAATTAATATTATATTTACAAATTAACAATAAAGAAAATAATTAAATTTTTAATAGTAAATATATATCGATGTTTAAATTAAACAATCAATACCTGATTCAGCCCGTTTTGAGATATCATTTTCAGATTAAGGCTTTGTTTTTTCGCAATAATGTTCCACAGGAATTTCTTTATCAAGTCCTTATATTCCTGAATTAATTGAATATACTTGTTAACTGGATAAATAGAGGAATTTAATAACTTATTATATAGACAGGTAAATAAAAACAAACGAAATATTCCGTTTTATTGTTGAAATTACTAACCCTACATATATAATTAAATTATAAAAATTAATTGTAAAATCTTTACTTAGATTTACTAATACTATAATAGAATTAAAAGATAGTCTTCCAATATTTGAAACTTCTTAAATAACATTTCCTGTGCATAGATTATCCCTTGGATGGGGTTTAGAATATTCCAGTAGTTCAGTTTCTTTTTATCCTTTTAATTTATAAGTTTTACGATAATCGTCTTCTAAGTAAAGTTTTATACCATATAATGCATTTAGATGGAATTTTTAGATTTCTTAAACTCTAGTGGATGATATTTTAATTCGTTTGGAATTATAAGTACCGAATTTTCAAAATACATTCATTTTACCAGGTTCTATAAGCTTTAATTTACCAAATTATGTAGGTTCGACTGTCAAATGTTATTTAAATAATTTAGAAGAACCAACTCATTCGAAAATCATATGCGATAATATAGGTAAAATGTATGAAAACTTAAATTATTCAATTGGATGTAGAATAACTTTTCCTTATGATAGGTTTACATCGTCATTATAATCGAACTTTGGAACCCTTACTTTATATAATGTAGATATAAACACTAATAAAATACTCGAAAATCCACTTTCAGTGTCTTCTAATCCTGTTCCTTTAATTTCTACTGATAATAATCCAAATTGGTCGGTTTTAGGTGGATAAAATTAGCTTGATTATACTGTTTTATCAGCTGATTATGTCGAAAAGGTTATAAATTCGGATGATTTGAATATTTTAGGAGGATTCGTTTCGGAAGAAAATAGAAGCCAGTAGTTAATTTTTACATTAAATATTGCTGCGAATAGTATAACTTCAAGCAGTGGGACTATAGTAGATTAGGCTGGCTTAATAATTTTGGGAAATCAAAAATTAATAGAAATTGACGAAAAAGCTTATGTTTAAAGTAGTAATGATTCAGGTTTACAGAATGACTTGAAGATTTTCTGTTCTAGAAAAGAAAAGGAAAGAGCTTCGTTTTTGAAAATAAAAATTTATGCAAGTCATATTGATGATTTAAAGATATTGTTAGAAGAAAGTAATGCCAAGAAAGCCTAGTTTTTTAAGATTATTAACGCTAAAATTGTTTAACATTCTTCTTTTTTTGCTGACTAGTATTTAATGGATTTCTATATTGCCAGTTTTGATAAAATAAATAGTCCTTAACCGATTTTTAAGTAGCTTTTTTTATATAATGGGTATACTATTAATCTAGAAAAATTATAAAATATTAAATATGGAATCAGTAATTATTGGTCGGGGAGTAATAGAAATGTTAGTGGGGAAAAAATACCAGCTATAATAAGAGTTTCTGGATATTTTAATGCGGAAGAATTAAAAGGAGCGAATTAAAAAATCGCACTTTTTTTTAAAAATCTTTAACCTTTTTATAAAAATTAGGAAGACTCTTTCTAAGAAAATGAAGTTTCTTGTTCTTCTTCTTTGTCTATTTCTTTCAGTTGTAAATATTTTACTTCCAAAGATAATTCGAATAGTTAATCTTATGTAAATTTTGATAGATTAGAAATTAAATTTGGATAAATACCTGTTGGACCAGATAATAGTTTCGAATTAATAATCCCTGTGAGTACTTTAATCAATAAATAAACCGAAAAAATATCCCTCTATCTAGCTGCTTTAGGAAATTCTCCATTATATTCCATAGATAGTGATTTGAGTTCAATTTTGGCTATATATAGGCTTACAGGGGGTTAGAATATCAAAAATAATCAATTTTTTTAAAGTTTGACGAGTATAAATGCGGATACATAAATTTTTACACCTAACAAAGTTTCTAATGATTTCCAATTGCTTCCTTTTTTGACTGATATAGTGTATGATTGGGATACTTCTGTATCTGGTTTAAAAGTAGGGCAAAAAAATGTCGATATTTCATTAAAAATAGGTCATACGAGCATAAATCCAACTTTTATATAGGCTAATGATGCCAATTCTGCACATTTAAATGGGGCAGCGTTTACTTTCTGTTCTTCAGGAAACTTATTTACATCATCTTCTACTATTTAGTTTTTATAAGCGAATTCAAGATGTTTGGCTTTCTCATATTTGTATTCTTCTATAAACTTTAGATATGGAATTTACTGCCCATTCGATTCTGGAAGTATAAGTAAAAATTCAGTTTTAATAATAAAAAATGGATAGGTTCCGGCTTAAAATGGAAGGCTTTTGCCCGAAAAAACATATTTTTCATGGGCAAATAATGAAGGATTGCTCAGAATAGAAAAATAGAGTGAAGAAGCACTTCATATAGGGAAATGTGGGGAAATAAAAGTTTGTAATATATAAAGAACGTTAAGTAATGATAAAGAATAAGAATATATATAGTTTTTTTTTTAAAGTACGAATTTTATATAGGAAAATAATATGGTTTAGGTGAAATTTAAAAGTCCTTTTAGTACAGAGTTTGGACTAGATTTGGAAAATTCGTTATGTGTTTTTTAAATTTTTTTATATAATAATACTTGTTATCCCAAAACGGAGGCTTTTAATTTAAATTATAAATGCTCAGTGAGTTAAAATGGGAATTTATTGAAGTTTATTATTGAAAAATGTAGTAATTGTCCTACTAATTCAGCTGGTTATATATATTCATTGACTGTTTTTGGCGTAAAGGTGTCTAATTTAGCAACTAAATTAAGTAGATTTGGCCTTACTTTATTCTCTAAAGATAGTACGAACACTAATTATATTATAGATAAGAGTATTTCTGCAAATTAGGATGACGATGGTGATTTAAAGTATGACAATTCTGGAGATTTACTTGGAAAAGTAGTATTCGGGACCAGCATTATAATGAAGACTAGAAATAAAAGATCTCGTTCTTCTTTTTATTTCGAGTTTTAATTTGTGAACAGAATTTTGGCCTAACATGAGTAATTAAATATTGATTTGGGAGGTTTTTCAAGTGACAATTTATTAAATTAAGAAAATTTATAATGTCAAATAAGAAAATATAATTCGAAAAATGAGCCTATATTGATTTCTTATGAATGGGAAATTTTAAATTTATAAAATTTATAAGGAATTAGGTTAATTCCGAAATTCAAAATAAAGGAAAATTAAAAATATCTCTTCTATTGTGATGGAATACGTATTCCTTTTTCATTTAATCCTTAATAAATTAAGACTTTCGTTTCTTTATAGGGATAAGTAAATTCTATTTTTTTCGGGAATTCTCCTTCCTTTTCATCTGATTTATTTCCCGAAAGGTTATTTCCTGTAAGGAATATTTATATATAGGAAAAATAACATAATACATACGGTTCTGCGGTTTAATTTAATTTTAATATCACTTCTTCTCGGCTAAATTTATATTCTGCGACTTCTTTTATTTTAATTAATTTCCCTACTACCTATTCTCCGAAACTTACTTCTTAGTATATATATTGTTTGATGAGTAATATTTTCGTAAGTTGCTAATTAGTTGATAATTATACAATAAAAATTACTTCTTTGCCCTTTGATGTTAAAATGAATGACTTTTTTAACATTATAGTACATGGAATAGAACAGCCGGCCAAATATAATCCAGAAACATCCACAATAATGATAGCTTTGGGAAACACTAGCAATAATCTGGAAGAATATGGTGAAATTTAGGACATATCGCCTTCCTAAACCCCCCCATAGAATATAAATGTTCAATAAATAAGTATAAAGAATACATATATAAGGTCATTATCAACATATAAGTTTAAAATATAAGTACCTTCAGGCACAATAATTTAAAATAATTACTTTTATATTGATTTTCCTTCTGTCTGGGAAAGAATTATTAATAATGTAAAACCTTAGTGCTATTTATATAATTATTTAAATACGACATTGTTTTCAGATTCGTGTAGTAGTTTTGGAAATAGAATTAAGCTTCCAATTATAAAATCTGATACATCGGCAAACTCGAATTATTACTTTATTCTCGAAAACTTGAGAAATCCAGACTCTTCCTCCTGTGATATTAATAAATGGGTACTTTCTATTACCAAAAATACACAAAAGGAAGTCTTAGCAAGGTCACATTCAACCTTTTGGAATATTAAAACTATTGCTTTTATCAAAAATCCCTCCTAAATAGTACTTAAATATATCAATGATAATGATAATTCTATAATAGATTCAATTTTAAGTAATAAGGAGGAACCTGAAATTACCAAAATAGATGCTTATATAGGTATTTTTAACTCTAAATTGGCTATTTCGTCTGATTATGGGGCTTTTGTGAGATCTTTTAAAATAAGTTCGGCTAGTACGAAGTTTTTTACTAGTCCAGGGGTGCTTGAAGCAAATTTGGGGTATAAAAAGAGTTCTTTTTCTATAGCAGGAAGTAAAGATTTGTCTGCAGGTTTGTTTTTATTGGAAATGGAAAAAAGCGATGATTTAAATATGCATACTAATGTGCCGTTTTTGAAAATTTAGTTGAAGTTTTAAAAATTCAATATTTTCTTTTCTAATTATCATCTAAGAATTCCTTTCAGTGGACATTCTTTGCCTTTATTAATTCATTAAAAGGAATGTGAAAGTGTATATGAAACTAAAATTGATGCTTTTATTTATGATTAAGCTTAACCTTCAGAACCGGCGGCTGGATTGGCTTTTGTTAATAGAAGTAGTGTTATTTTATCTTGGAGAAATCCATAGAATTTCTTATATGTTAAAGCCAATGAAAATAGTGTTAATTAAAATGGTAATGGACAAGTTTAGATAACTTTTTCAGAAACTGCTTTAAAATATTATGAGAAAGTTAATTTAATATATATATATATATATATATATATATATATATTTTTATATATAATTTATTTTTTATATATCATTTATATAATTGTATAGTTTTTTTATATAAATTACTTTTTTTTTTTAATATATATAATTTTCTCCTATATATACAATTTTTTTTTTTTTAAGCCTAATTAAGTCACTTATGAAATAGTTCCAAATAAATAAAACTCACCTATAGTATAGTTAGTAAATATTTTTTTAATTAATATAATATAGTAATTAAAATTTATTAGGAAATTATATCTAGTACAGCTTTGACTATAAAAATGAATGTTAAATGTAATTAAGAAAGTACTTTTTATTATATTGTATAAACTGATGAAGCTAAAGGAGTTACTTTTTAAGAAATAATATGGAATTCTTGGAAATTTTTATAACCTTAAATAATGGATGTGTATAATTATCATTATGGATTTTAAAATATAGAAATGACTTTATAAGATGAAAATTAAGGGAATATATATAATTAAAAAGAAATAGAAGTAAAAGAATTAAGACCTTCCACTACTTATAATATAACAGGATTTTGTTTAAATACAAATGACAAAATGAGTTAGTCAGTAAGTAAAATGTATACTACTAAAAGTAATTCCGGAAAATTTTTGACAATAGAAATAAAATTTGCATCTATTATAAAAAAAGACATGATTTAAAGACTTTCGTGTTTTTTATCATCTTATTTAAAAGTTCCAGCACCATTGTATAACATAAAATAAATGAAAAAATATAAATAAAAATATATATATATAAATATAAATTTATATATATATATATATATATATATATATATATATATATTATATATATTATACATATTGTTATATATATATTTTTTTTTATAAATATTTAATTATATATATTTAGACTAAGAACTTAATTTGATTAATATTGTAATTTATAAAGAAGAAGAAGGAGAAGAAGAAGGAGATTTTTAACTTAAGCAATCGATGATAGTGGTATTTTAGTTACGAAATTTTACATATATCCATCTTATACTGATGAAAAAGATAAGATAACTCCTTAGATATAAATAAAAGGAATAAATGAATTTGAAGCTATAAAATATGCAACTTCAAATATAACAGGGCTTCCTACAATAGTGTATTTTGGATAGCCTGAAGTAGGAGAATTTACTCCACCTATGTTTGTAAACGCCACATAAATATAAATATAGACAGATTTATAATAAGTGGATATTATAGGTATTGCTTGTGATTAAATTTGCTTTATTTATGCTTTAGTTGATCTCGCATCGAAAAGTAAACCGACTCATTTAGAAATAAGAACGAATTATTTTAATTATTTATAGAAAAATATCAATACTATATCTTAAAGTTTTATGGGTGTGTATAATAACGTTCCTGTAAATATAAATTTTAGTGGATTGAAAAAAAATACTTAGTATAAAATTTATTATTATGCTGCGGCAGATGATCCGTCTGTTTTTTAAGCTAAAACGGAAATTTAATAAAGGGAATTTTCCACTTTAGATGATTTAGTGGTTTTCGGAAGTTTTTTTGGTGTATTTTTTTTAGAAACATTATTAGTTTTTATTATATTATGATTAATAAATATATACATATGTCTATTTTTTTTTATATTTTTTTATTATTTTTTATAACTAATTGATTAATCCACATATTTATTTATTACCAAAAAAAAAAAAAAAAAAAAAAAATAGTAAAAAATTAATAATTATTTATCTTCAAGAAAAATCTCATATTCATTTAAAAATAATAAAAGTAGTAGTATTAATACTAGTTATAGCATTTAAAATTAAAAACTTAATTTAATGTAATCCTTCGAATTACATAATTAAAATTAAATCGATAACACTTAAAATAAAATTAATAAAATTAGCCATAAACTAGACGAATCATTTTAAGAAATCATATCCTAAGCTCAAAAATATATATAAAAATATCATTTAAATCAACAAATTCGAATAAATATTTGGATAAAGAAATTAAATATATCAAATAGCAATATTATATAAAAATAAAACAGAAATTTATATGCAAAATTATTATTAAATATGGTAAAAACTTCAATTTTTCATTAACCTTTTTCATGTACACCTCCTGAAGGGACTTTAATAAAGCTAACTAAATATGATATAGTAAAAAATTATAGATGTTCTATATAATATATATATATATATATATTTTTTAAAAACAGCCTTATTAATCAAAAATTATATTGATAGAATTTGAAAGGGAAATGATGTAAAAGACTAGTACATAAAAAATAATTACAAAAACATATAATCTAGATACTCATAAAACTAAAAACAGAGTAACGAAAAAAAAAAAAAAAAAAAAAAAAATTAAAATTTTAAAAGCAATTCTTTATAATCTATACATAGAAAATATTCATCATTAAATCTTTCAAATCTAACGAATTATTTCAAAAGTAAAAAAAAAGAAGATCCTTTTGAAAACTTAGGGTAAAATACTATCAGAAAGGAATAAAATATAAGATTAAGCTCACTTTAAGATGAAGTTTAGCCTTATTTGAAATAATAATATTAAAATAAAAGTAAATAAGTAGAAAGTATTTTAGAATAAGCATATGAATCAAATAATAATAACGAAAATAGGGAACTTACTAACAAGAATTATTTATTGGAAATGGAACTTAAATAAAAAAACGAAATGATTTAGGTTTTATAAAAAAACATTGAAAATATAGCCGAAGAAAATAATAACTTAAAATATTATTAAATTTTATAAAAGTAACTACTTGATAATTTTAAAGATTTTTTTAATAAATAAGAAAAGCAATTTTAAAATAATGATTAGGTAATTTTTTTTTTTTTTAAAAAAAAAATTTAATTATTTTTTGGTTTGTAGTATTAATAAATAATATAAGATCTAAATTTTTTATTTTTCATATAAAATGGAATTTAATAAGTTAATAATTAATAATTAAATTAATAATAAACAGATATTAATTATTAAAAATACGCATAAATGCTAAAAAATAAAATATAATAAAGTAATTTAGATACTCGGGTTTTTTTAAAATATTTAAATTCTATATAAAAAAAATTGACATGAATAAAAAAAATAAAAAAAATATTTATTTTTATTATTATACAAAAAAAATATATGCTTTTTTTATTTATTTTTATTAATTTTTTTTTTATTATTATTCAATTTTCATATAACTATTCTATATAATATCTAAAAATTTAAGTTTTTATGATTTTAGATAAAAGAACATCTTCAATTTTATCGTTTCTACTTTTATAAATATAC